GCTCAAGAAGTTCCTCCCCTGATAAGTAAGCAAAAAAGTACTTATATTATTACGGAACAAATAAATTTCTATATATAGTTGCATCTGCTTTACTTTCTTATCAGAAAGTAAAAAGTTGTTTTAAAAATCATCTTATAGTACAACAAGCTGTAGTTAAATCTGTCTCAGCCAGCCAACGTGCAAATTTGTTGTATAAATTAACTTGAGAAATATTCAGAGCATGTTTAGTTTTTTTTTTCTTTTTCTTTTTCTTTTTTTTCTTTTTATATTATGTCTATATATTCTATGTATAGCAGTGAAAGTTACAATCAAATTATAAATATGGAAGAAAAACAGCGAAACAATAAAGTGAGGCGAAGAACAACTCAACCTCAAGAGCTTCTCTATGGAGTGCATGCTAGCCCAGAAAGTTTAAAAGTAGAAGATCAAAATCAAAACCACAATCATCCGCTCACAAGGGTACCCAGTGCACCTGGTAGCCTAAAGTAGGTTTAGCTTTTAGAAAAAAAAGTGCTTTGTTATTAACCATTAATATTTAAATCATCTTGCGGATTATTTATATTCTTGCATATTACTTTTAATGATATATTGTACAAATTTAAATATATCATATCTTGTAAATTTTACAGAGGATTAGTACTTACTAGAAGTCAACATAATACAGGTGTTACTGGTGGATCACCAACTTTGAGTCGTCGCGATAGTACATCACCACGACCACTGCGACGACCACTTCATCCTGGAGGAGGTTCTATGTGAGTGATAATTCTGCAGTACATCTTTGTTCTTGTATTTCTTATATATCTTTGTCTCGATGCTCTGTTATATGCACGGTGAGCTTCCTGAAATGAATTTACAATATTTCAATAAATGGGTGCCTTTCACAAAAGTATAACAAAATGGATTATAAATACAAATATAGGGAAAAAATTAAAAACCAAATGAAATTAGAATGCATTTTGGTGAAAGAGAGAAAAAAAAAAAATAGAAAGAAAAGAGAAAAATTCCGACAACGAAATACGAGATCGTGTCCGGTATTTAGAAAAGAATAATATTGCCTAATACGCAAAAAATATTTGCAAATATTAATAAATATGCGATTTATATCTGTGAAAATAAAGAGAAAATAAAAGTTAAAAACGAACAAACAAGCTTATTTTAATACTGCAAAGTTTATTTTACTTTCACAGATATAAATTTATATTAAATTCTAAAGCAACTTCATGTAAGATGAATTTAAATTACTTTCTGATTGTCATAAGTTAATATACATACAGGTAATGTTACTAACATGTGTATCATATACAAAGAAGATTATGTACCATAAAATATTCTATATTTTATATTCTATTTGTTAAAGAACACTGCTAATATTTGGTATTATAAGTATTATAGTTATAAACTAAAACATGTTGTTACCTTTTTTTATATAACTTTATTAATATGTGACATTCATTTTGTGCTTTGCATCACATTATGAAATAAAATGATTAGTAATTGTTTACATGTACAAAATATAAAATTTGATAAGAAAAAATTTCAATTTGTATAGATTTAAGATTTACTTTTGTATCGTTCAGAATTAATAAATAATTGCACAAAGAATCCTTCCATAATACTGTGCAGTGACAATGTTTATATAAAGTCCTCCTTTATACATTATAATGCCTTTATATAAATATTCTATATCCAATTTTTCATATCATATAATTGTATATGCTTTCGCTTTTCTTTTAACTCTAAATTGCTAAAACAACATACAACTGATATAAAATATTAATATTTGATATGTTATCGCGTATGATACTGTCATTAACTATACTGATATATGTCAAATTAATTCGCGTCTTATTTTTATTCAACAGTTGAACAAGTCATATGTTTCAAACTTATACATAGATATAATCTTTAATCAATTATATTGGTTTATAATTATAGTACTTACTATGCACACGCATGCATTGTGTTTTAATAAAATGAAGGCATGACTATTAACTGGGATTATAGCTGATTACTACCAGCTAACTAACATGCTAACATAATAAACACCTCAATTAGGGAACAGGTAGCGCATACGGATATTTCTTCACCGCCTGGTTCACCAACGACATACCGACGTTTTAATAGTCGCGAAGAAAATGTCTTCTCCAGACTTACTGCAAGTAGGCAACCAATGTCTGTAGATCCACAGCCTATGAAAGGAATAATTTCCCAATATCAGGGAAAGGTATTTAAATTAATCGAATAAACGTTATCATTAATCATATAAATATTATTCGATATTTATTATATATTTTAGGCTCAACCTCGAGCAATTCTGCAATGTTCTCATATAGCAGAAGGACATAGTAAAGCCGTTTTAACCATTTATGCAACTACGGATTTGCTTTTTAGTGGATCGAAAGGTGAACATATGTATAGTGATATTTTACAATTTATTTCAATTGAACATTATATTATATTAATTATAATTGAATAATTGTCGTATGTGGATTATTTATAAATTTTAGATCGCACTGTGAAAGTATGGGACTTAAGGACCGGAATTGAAAATTTAACACTTAGCGGTCACCCAAATAATGTTGTTGCAGTTAAATATTCTGCATTGCATCATTTATTATTTAGTGTCTCTGCAGCTTATGTCAAAGTATGGGATTTGCGAGCTGGTAATACTTGCATAAAAACTCTTTTCTCGTCAGGCCAAGCACAAAGCGGCCCAATTGCTTTATCGACTCCATCTAGAACACTACAAGTACCTGTGGGTGAAACAACGATCAATGATCTTGTATTAAGTTTAAATGAACGAGAATTATACACTGCATCTAGTGATAAAGTTAGAATATGGGATATTCGTAAATTGACATATAATGGTAAATTAAGTACACCTCACACAGCAGCTGTTATGTGCTTGGCTGTTGCCAATGATGGTAGAGTAATAGCAGGCAGTAAAGATCATTTGATTTCTCTTGTCGAACCTAATACTTCTGGTCAGTCAGTAAGTTTAGCGCCGCCACATTACGATGGAGTTCAATGTTTAGCTACAAGTGACAGTACTCTATTTTCTGGTAACTCTCATTATTGTTTATTATTATCTTATATATTAATTAACGTTATTGTCTTATATTAATAACATATCCAATTGAAAATTATAATTTTATAGGTTCAAGAGATATGTGTATTAAAAGATGGGATTTAAGTAGAATGGAATTAGTCCAATCATTAAATAATGCACACAAAGATTGGATCCTAGGATTGTGTATAATAAATGATGGTACTATCATGGTATCAGGGTGTCGTGGTGGTGTTTTAAAAGCATGGTCTGTTCCGAAAGATCAAACAGGAGAATGTACTTCTATTGGGGAGGTTCGAGCACATGGATCTGCAATTAATGCTGTCACAACAAATCAACAACACATTTTTACTGCTAGCAAGTGAGTTCATTCATATATATATTTACATTTATTTTCTTTTCATTGCTGCACCCTAAGCACCGATCACATTTTATAAATATTCTGCACCGTTGAATATAAAGGCAAATGCAATTAGGCATTTAAATTATTCGCAGATAAATAATTTTACAAAAAAAAAAAAAAAAAAAAGAAAAAAAAAAAAAAGAAAAAAAAAAGAAAAAAAAAAAAAAGAAAAAAAAAGAAAAAAAAAAGAAAAGAAAATGTGCTTAGGTTCAGCTCATTTAATAATATCTTGAGTGAAATAACAACTTGGATGTTGATTGCAGCTCTGGAGAGGTGAAGCTGTGGCGTATTCCTGATTCCTCTTTAACTATGTCTATTTCCACAGTTTCTCTTTAACTTATTTTATTTATGTGCTGCTTGTTATTATGTTTTCTTTATTTCTTATTGATATGGTAATACACAATATTTATTTTATGGTATTTAAAATGTTTCCATGATTACCATAAAAACTATTGCATTAATTTGAATGGTGTCTTATATTTTTTTTTTTATTTTTCTTACTTATTTATCCAGTAGTACCTGCTAATAATTTGTCTTTGGCTTTTTTTATGCATACATATACACGTACACATATATGCACGCACTTAATTTCTAAATATCATCGATGATATTAAAAAATTCCTAAATAAATTGTATATTTAACGTTTGCTTTGTGTAACTTTAAATAGAAAACAACAAAAAACACGTATATATTTATAACTCGATTACGCAGTAAATGTGCTATGATAGTTCTATATTAAAATGTATTAATCTTAATATTTATTCAAATATTGTATATTCAAAATATACATTGGAAATAAGCATTGTTTTTGCACATCATTAATATTAAAAAGAACACTTCCAAGTTGATGATAATTCACCCAAGTCTCTTCGTAAATTCGTTGTGTGTAATGGTTTATTGTCTCTAAAACATTTATTATGCCTAATATGGAAATGGAAATTTAATTTGATTTTTATTACTTTGCTTCTATGTGGTACTTTGCATGGTTACCGTGTCAACGCAAAGTGATGGAACTGTGAGATTGTGGAGCTACTATAAGAGAGATGCAAGAACTTTCCAAAGAAGCAATTCACTAAAAAGTTAACACTTTAATATAATCAGTTATATTTATTTTATATTGTAGGCAACTTTAATCTAATTTATTATTATATAGCAATATATAATTATAGCAATCACAAGCAACTAAGACAATTAAAATAATACAGTTCACATAAGAAAGAAATGTGCTTTTTTATTGTTGTTCAGTAATGCTGCTTTTATTTTATATATTTACCGTTTGCATAAATTTTTAGATATTTTTAAATCTATTAAAAAAAAATTTTAAACGTATTCTACTCATCAAATAGAATTTTATAATTTATTACTATATGAATTTATTTTGGAGAAAAAATATGACCTAAAATCTTTGCTATTCGTATAGTTTTCATTCTGGCAAATGCTACAAAATAGGTGAAATGCAAACTAAGCGCAATGTTATAATATATATGACGCCTAAGAGTAAAATTAATAACATTATATAATAAGAATAGTTTGGTATTATCTAGCATTTATTTTATTATGAACATTAGGGTGGTAATAATTATAATATTTATTTTTAGTACAAACAATAATTGTTGGTTAATACTGTACAGTCTGAGATCTTTGTAGGTCCCATGTACTCGATATTGTCAGGGTTGGCTGTTATTCAATTTTCTTCTAAAAATTAAAAAAGAAAAAAAAACCACAGTATTATACCTTAAGCCTTACATTTTTAAATATATTTGCAATAACAAAAGAGAAAATAAATGGAATGTTAATAATACATGCATTTTTTTATTACTTTAAACTTAATATAAATATATCACAGGGAATAAAATATTCTTGTTATCTACCTTTTCTTTTTTTTGTGTGCCGTAAGCGACTCTTGACCACTGTCATCTGCACTTTCATCTTCAGATTGACTAGTACTACTGCTACTGCTTGAAGAACTACTCGAAGACCCACTTGATGAATCACTGGCTACTCCTGTATCCTCTTTTACATCTATTGTTTCTGCAAGTGCTGCAAGTTCTGGTTCTTTATCCCTGAGTACTTTTAACCACTTACGTGATAATTTTGGCCTTCCACGTATCTAAAATGATATAATAATGAAATATATTTTTTTGTATTCACATAAAAATTGAATGCATATGTTGTAAGGAATGAATGAAGTGCATTCATTGTTATTGTACCGTTTTGTGCCAAACTACTGGAAAATTGGTACGAGAACAGAAATTTTGAGTAACTGCAATAGTTTCATCTAAATTCAATACAACGTGCCACCAACCACCCGGCACAAAGACTGTTTCACCAGGATTTTGTAAAATCTCTATTGGCAAGCAGTCTTGAGGCCACGTAGGTAACTTTGTACGTGGATAAATAACAGAAAACCATGTTATAGCTTCATCTCTCTGTTTTCCACCTTCAGCTGCAGTTACTTTTAAAAGCTCACGCGGGGTATGGGTAGGAAAGAGGCACCAACGCTTATGACCCGAAATCAGTGCATTCCATGCACTAGTTCCTAATGGATCTATATGAATACCTGTACCTATTACACATATATAGACGATTTTGTTACATCCGTTCATACACCAATTAATAATATTTTTATATAGCACATACCAGATCTGGCAGGTCCCATAACAAACCACCGATACGGTGGTCTACGATGTTCACCAGCATGTTGGAAAAGATCATCACGAAAATATTTTGGAATAACATAATCTTCTAATAACTTTTTCCGTCTAGGATGTTCTCCAAACGAACTATCAAAGATGTACAGAGGAGAATCATCTTCATTGTTGAGCATATATCGTACATAGTACTTCATTTTCATCTTAACACTATATCCTTCATTATCTTCCCCACATTTAAACTTTTGGTTTCTGTACTTTTTTACTAACCTCTGCATGCCGATAGAATATTATTGGAGTAAGTCTAAGTACAAGTTAATATATGTTTACGATATAAAATTAATTTTTTCTTCTTAAAGATTACCTCTATAGTCCATTTATGTTGGGCTTTCCAACCAGTTTGAACACCTTGTATTATCACAGGTTTATAAGGTTTCTCATATTTTTCAATAAATTCTTCAGTAACTACTATAGATTCATCTATGCGTTCCACATTATCTTGGAAATTCCAAAAAGTTTCAAACTTTTTACTATATCCATGCTGAGTCCAAGCTATTTTATCTCCAAGTTCTAAAGAAATATTAACGTATTACATTATCGTATGAAACATGTATTATACTTTTCTTATGTTTAAAAGATTGATAAAGAAAAATATATCTTTGAACAAAAATACATTTTGCATAGGAATTGAATAAATTGAAATATTCTTTTGTTTTTTTTTTATTTGCTTGTAAATTGAATTTAAAAAATTGCAAATTAGGAATGTACGCAAACAGAATTATATTAATTTTAATAATTTTGGAAGATATAGTATTACATCATCCCCCAAGGTCTTAATAGCAGCACAGATTTATCTCAAATCGTTATTAACGATTTTTACGTTTCGCTTCTAATATATCTTGAGATCAAAATGATTTCATTTGCTTCAACTTAAATAACACGTAAGAAGCAGAAAATATGAGGGGATTTATATAAAACATATTTCTGACACATTAATAAGTAGGTTAGAAATTTGATTGTAAAACTTATTCACCTGGTCTAGCTTTTCTTTTAACTTCCTTTATTCTTTTCTTAGCACGATGATCCAATTTGAGTTCTTCCGTCATGTCAACTACTATAATATTCTATTAATTATTCTAATTACAATACAAGTATTTACAACGTACACTTGAAAAATCCTATGCTACACTGTCGTGTGCTCAATGATAACCGCGACTTTTAGTTCCTTTTATTCCCGTGAGGCGTGTCAAAACATTAGTCGATATTTTCAGATCGCTAGAGTGCAAAGCGTTTATAGAAGTATAGGTCGATTATCGAAGCTGAATCTTCAACTTTTCTTCTACACAAATAAATGTAAAAACTGTCAAACGTCAATGCCTTTATATTATTTCTTCTCTTTTTAATTGGCTCAGAAATGTTAGCATGATTACTCAAACAATTTTAGCATCTTACGAAAATGTTTAATATTATATAGGGTATACACTTGAAATTGTAAGAGGCGCTGACAATCGCACCTGAGAATGGCCTACGTGACAAATATCACGTTCATGTGGCATATGTATGATCCTTTTAAAGAGAAAGAAACCACCACACCTGCTCGGATATTAGCAAAAACATATCTCGTGTGGTTATATGCAAGAAAATATACGTTATTACACATAAAAAAAAAAAAAAGAAGAAAAAAGAAGGAAAACAAAAACAAGAGAGTTGCAATAAGATTATAATAACTATAAAGTTGCTTGTAAAGAAATTTTTAATATTTTCGATAAAAAGTAATGCATTTTTTGGAAACAAAGATCAAAAGAAAATCGTTATTGGTCTATTGTATGTGCGCAAAAAAAGAAGACGGACGATTGAATGGAAGGAAAACAAAAAGGTGCCTAATTCGGTATGTCTCGACGACGATAGTCGACACGGCAAGTCTGGTGTTAAGTATATGACCGACCAGAAGTTCAACGGTTCGATTCGGCGCATGCGCCGACTACAGAAGAAACTCACGTAGTGACGAAACAGAAGGAGGAAAAAAGGAGAGAGAGAGAGAGAGAGAGAGAGAGAGGATTCGAGCGCGCATACGGCGTGATACGGTACGACACGGTGCGGCGCGACGACGACAACGCACGACGCGTTGTATGTATATACAAGAGGAAGAAGAGACACGACGCCATGTTTTGATGTCGTCATGCCCCCCTCTCCCCCCCCTTTTCTTAAAGCTCTGCCTCTTGCATGGTTTGGTATGATAGTCGGCGGTCGTGTCAGTGTTTTTTATCGTTTACTCAGCATAAGTGTGTGCTACTAACATTTTTTCTTCTCATTTTTATCCATCTATCTCTGTCTCTTTATCATTCTCTTTTTCCTCCTCATTCTCTTTCTTGGTGCCTCTTCGTGATCGATCGTCAAGGACATAAGATTGCATAGAACGTGTGCGCGACTAACCGTCGACATTCATCCTCGTGGCTTTTCCGCACTCGTCGTCTCGTGCTATTAGTGCTGCCGAGTGGTGCTACTTTTGCTAGAGGCGGTAGTGGTGGGTAATGTGTGACGTTTTATGATGTAGTGGTGGTGGGCTTTGATGGTGAGAGATGGTGGTGGTAGTGGTAGTGGTGCTGCTACTGCTGCTGCTGCTGCTGCTGTTGCTGCTGCTGCCCCTATAGCAACTGCTGTTGCTAGTGCTGTTGATGAGTGTTTGTGTGGAGGTGCCCGTGTCTCCTCCGTATCCCTTTTCATGTCCTCCGGGGTAGTAGCACCAGCAGAGAGGGGGGGGTTTGCGAGCGTCGTCTACGTGGTGCTGGTGTCCTAGTGCGGGAACAAGCCAATATATCCCCTTCTTCAAGGGGACAACGGCCAACGGCGGCCGTTCTCATTGTTGTTGCGATTACGTCACGCGAACGTGAGCCTCACTTTTTTTCCCTGAGGTTTCCACCGTCGTTGCCACCGTAGCCGTCGCCGTTGCGTTTTCTTTGCCTGAGGAAGGAAGTAGGAAGTAGAGGTGGAGGAAGGGAATAAAGAGGGAGGAGGTGGGGGAGGAGGCGGAGGAGGAGGGAGAGGAAGAGGAAGAGGAGGACGAAGACGACCAAGAAGACGACATCGACGACGGTGACGCGAACGACAAGAGGAACGAGGAGGAGGACGAGGAAGAAGAGGAAGACGGGTCGTCGCGTAAAATGGAGCTGCGCCTGCACTCACCAGCCGGAGCAGAACCGATCGTTTATCAGTGGCCCCTCACCTCCGGATCAGGATCCGTGAGTGAACGCGCTCTTTCTCCTGAGACACAAAGATACATGTTTGCCACTTCGTCGCATTTCGCATCGGACAATGCGCGCTTTCTGGGATTCGGTTTCCATCCTTTAACGACGATTTTCACAGCTGATTGTATGACTCTCGAGTTACGAACTGTATATTAATATTCTTTGCTTACATTATCATAATCCGTTACTCTATGCAAGACGAGTCTTTAAAATCTTTTTTTTTCTCTCTCTCTCTCTCTCTCTCTCTCTCTCTCTCTCTCTCTCTCTCTCTCTCTCTCTCTCTCTCTCTCTTTCTCTCTCTCTCTTTCTCGATTGCGCGACCAAGAGATGTCTGTATTTTAATTAACTGGTATCACGATAGATTAGAATTTATTAAAGCTTCAAATTATTATCATATTTTAGTCTAGTTATTCATCAGAAGGAGAAACACAATATTGTTCTACGAGATATTAATATCACGTTAACGTTGCATTACTTTAATTGTTGTGTGTATAACAATTTTTAATATAAATCGACAAATGTAGTGTAAGGCAAAAGCGTATATTTACAAACATAAGAAAATTTTTAAAGGATATATTTTATAATGATAGGTATCAATGTAAAGTAGAGGGGGAGGGTTTCTGTTTATGAAATTTTATAAATCTCATTTGACCTTTGGAATTTTTTTCTTTTTTTTTTTCCCTCTTTTTTTTTCTCCCTCTCTCTCTCTCTCTCTCTCTCTCTATATATATATATATATATATATATATATCTTTTGTTTTCCCATTTATGATTACAACGTAAATTTAAAGTATAAGTAAATGTTCTAATACGAGACGTATTTATTAGTTACATCTTTATGTAATGCAGACATCTAAATACTTACAATACTTCGTATCTCAATTAAATGACTTTAACTATTACTTTGTAATTGCAGGATCGTCATGATGGAGCATTAGACGTTGTAGAAACAATGAGATGGGTTTGCGAAGATTTACCTGACTTAAAATTACCATTAGAAAATAATATTCTTTGCGATTATGATACAAGAGATTATGAAAGTATGAAAAATTTGTGTGATAGATTTAACAGAGCTATTGACAGCTTGGTACAACTGGTAAGTATTTAAATTTTACACAACTATAATGTTATATCTAATACATTATAATTTATTGGAGACACGATATCTCTATAGGAAAAAGGCACCAGTTTACCATCGCAAAGATTAAATAAACGTCCAAGTAGAGGCTTACTTCGGCACATACTTCAACAAACATATAATCAAGCTGTGGTTGAGCCTGACAAATTAAATCAATATGAACCCTTTTCACCGGAGGTTTATGGAGAAACAAGCTACGAATTAGTATGTCAAATGATCGATCAGATTGATGTGACCGAAGATGATGTTTTTGTCGATTTAGGATCTGGAGTTGGTCAAGTAGTTCTTCAAATGGCAGCAGCAACTTTATGTAAGATTTGTATTGGTGTTGAGAGGGCTGATGTACCTTCGAAATATGCACAGGTAGTATGAGTAAATTTTACTTCTTGAAGCAGCTGTAAAAATTAAATTAATTTTAACGATATACCTTAATGATTTGTGTATAGAGTATGGAAATAAATTTTCGAAAATGGTTAAATTGGTATGGAAAAAGATGTGGAGAATATCGTTTGGTAAAAGGTGATTTTCTAGCAGATGAGCATCGCGAGAGTATTACTGGTGCTACAATTGTATTTGTTAATAATTTTGCTTTTGGGCCAAACGTAGACCATCAGTTAAAGGAAAGATTTGCCGATTTACGAGATGGCGCTCGGATAGTATCCTCAAAGTCGTTTTGCCCCCTAAATTTTCGAATAACAGATCGAAATCTTAGCGGTAAATTTGTTGCTCCTTTGAATTGTACAGATGGTTCACTTATTAGTGAAAAATATAATACAATTAAATTAATTTTATTCACAGATATTGGTACCATAATGCATGTATCTGAAATGTCACCACTTAAAGGTTCGGTTTCATGGACTGGCAAGCCAGTGTCCTATTATCTTCATGTAATTGATAGAACTAAATTGGAACGCTATTTCCATCGTTTAAAAAATAATAAGCAAGGTGGCTTAGATGAAAACTCTGATTCTGTGATAAATAACACTGCCAGCAATAGTAATAAGATTTCTAATAGAGGTGAAAGAAGTGACAGGGCCAAAAGAGATCTTTCCAGACAATTAGATAGTCCTAATCATTCAGAACAGCAAGGAACAAATAGCGATTCTGATATGGATGAAAATAATATAAAAAATCGTCGACAATCAACTAAAATTCGTAGGAAACTAAACAGAAAAAGTGCAAATGGTATATCAAGACCTCCTCCTAGAGGAAGACAAAGAGGAAGAGGTGTGAAAAAGTCTAGACCCAAGAAAGCTATAAATATATCTGGACTCGATTTATTACATAGTCAAACATTATTGAGTACATCTCCACAAGCTCTTGGGAAGAAACCACCTCCTGCACCGGGTTGCGTGGATCAACAACTTTCTTCTTTATCCCTTTCTTTACAATCTCATTCCACCTCTGTGCACGAAGAACTCAGTATACCACCTGCTCCGTCCGCGACTCCGTATGCTCTACAAATACTTTTGGATTTATATAGGTATACTCACTCTATTATATGATATCTCTATAGATATGTTATTTCCTGTAATTTTGGTGCATCATAATATATGAACGGTATAACTTGTTATCATTTGTAGGGACCAATTCATGCTTATGCTAGAATCTATGAGAACACCTACCTACAGAGTATCTGTTAATACAGATATTGTAAAGGAGAGGGAAAGAAATTCTAAGCTACAATCAAGAGCAGCACAGTTGGAAAAACAAATAAAAGTATTGATTGATGATAGTGTAGCACTTTTAAAAGCCAGGATGACTGAATTAGGCATAAATGCTACTTCCCCTGGAGACCTTTTAGCAAAAGCTAAAGAAATAGTACTTAGACACAAGCAATTGCAAGCTAAAGCGAGTAAGCTACAAGCTCAAGTAGCATCTATGGAATCGGAACAAACGAGATTAACGGCGCTTAGACACCAAGAATTACAAGAAAAATACAATGGTCACGCAAATGGAGTATCTAATGCGCCACAACCACTTACTCAAGATTATATATTGAAAGAAATATCTGCTACATTATCGCAGCGCAAGAGATTGCATTCACAGGTATACATGTTTTGCACCATTTTAACGTGATCATCGTTTAACGTGATCACCGGTCACTTCATTCTTTCGCTCCGAAGGGCGTACATATACTGTGGATGTCTTAAACAATTGATGATCAAAGAGACTAACTCCACTTTGGAATTTTTCTTTATTTTTTACCATCAAAAAGTACTTTATTGGTGCTTTACTTTTTATATTTAAAATCAATTTTCTTTAATAATTATGTTCAATACTATTCAATCTTGTACGACAGTAGATTAATAAATAATTTACTATTTAATTATTAATCGTTATTAACTTTAAATTTTGTGACATTTTATGTTTATGTTTATGTAAAGAACTTTGTGTGTCTTGTATGTTCGAATATATACTTTAAAAGGGATTTAAAAAACAATGTATTTAAATTTATCAATTTTCTCTGCTTTCCGTTCTGTGGAGTTAATCACTTTGGCTAATGAACGGCTGATATGATCGAGATAGACAATGACGAATTAAAAAAGAAACCTCAAATTAAAACAACGTCTTATTAAAAAGCATTTTCCATCTCTTTATGTGAATAATTTGGCAAAACAAAAAATAATTAAATTCGAACGTTTGTGATAAGGTAAGGTAAAAGACAAGAGTTTAGATATTGTTGGCTTCAATGCGATGTTGATTTGTCTTAAGTTGAAGTTACCTATAAAGCATACAAGTAGCTTTAAATAAATAAAAAAAAAAAAAAAAAAAAAAAAAAAAAAAAAAAAAAAAAAAAAAATGTTATTTTATAATTTCATATAACGTAGAAAATTGTAGATGCAACGTGTTGCTAAGTAAAATGGGAGATCTTTCTGATTTATCTCGCACAGCAATATATTCTGAAACGAAGAAATCTTCCCGGCCGATCGGTAGTATAGCAACATTATTCCGAAATAAGATGATCTCCCTGATCAGTTGGCAATGTGTTAAGAATTGTTTAGAAATAACTTTTTTTATTCTAGGTATCTAAATTGGAGCATGAATTGAATGTATTAGAAAGAGCTAGTAATGAAAAGCAAGTGGCTGCTATTGCTCAGCAACAAAGAGATGCAATTAACAATAAACATTCTCAAAGTCAGCATCATCAGCAAAATGGAAAAAACGGGTCAACACGGAAAAATAGAGAAGGACGTTCAAAATCTTCTGAGTGGCCTGATGTCCCAGACATGGGCAAGATACAAGAAAATAATCCTGAAATTTTAGCACAGAAAATTTTAGAAACTGGGAGACAAATAGAAGCTGGTCGAATTCCAAATAGGCAAAATTCTAATGTTAATAATAATTCTAGAACTAGACTGCCTCAAGCATCCCTTAGTTTTTCTACGACGTCGTCATGCATTTCATCATCACAATCACTTTCAAGTAACAAAGAAATGACAAACAGAACACAAGAACCACCTAGGGTAGCTAATTTTGAGGATAGATTAAAAAGTATCATTACAAGTGTATTGAACGAAGATCAACAAAATCGTAGTAAACAACAGCAAATGCAATTACAAGTGCAATTACATCATTCTGATACAGATAAAAAGCGAGGTGTGTTACCACAAAATGTTTCTACTCCAGATTATACACAGGTAATCTTTAATAATATCACTTCGTATTCGTTATTACGTGAAATGCGATTCTTTTTATATTTGAAATCTTAATACTTAGTGAGTAAATTTTAATTGAAGGTTTCTCCTGCAAAGCTTGCACTTCGACGTCATCTATCTCAAGAACGTCTCTCTTCGCATTTAACTCCATCTGATAGATCGGCAATTGATTCTAGGCAATCTGGTCACGATAATCGTATTATAGCTGGTGGTAGTGGATTGCTTGGAACTAGAACAATTGGTGATCTTGTGAGTGGAGAGATAGAGAGAACATTAGAGATATCTAATCAAACGATAATAAATGCAGCAGTTGACATGAGTGCAATGATGAGGCCAGAAACTGTTTATTCTCCTATAAGCCGACCAGCTAGTGCAGAAGGTGATGCTGGTTTATCAACTCTTGCACATGTTGCTAGCTATGCACCTACATCAGTAACAACTGCTACGTCTACTCCTGCTAGTACTTCCAGATCATCTGTATTATTTACGCCTGTTACGCAACCGCAAAGGTAATATTTACGTTTAAATAATCTTTGGAGAATATAATTTGTAATGTTACAATGTTACAGATATACACCTGTGCAATTACCACGAGCAGACATTAAACCCTATCACGAATCTTATTTTTCTGACAATCCTTCGCAATCGCTTACGCATTCTCATTCTCATTCATCATCATCCATACATTCATCCCAAACATCTTCAAATGGTGAACTCTTACCAGTAGAAGGACTGGCCGCATCTTTACATGCCCGCATTTTGAATAATCATAATGGTACTAATAAAACTGATCAAGTGCTGCCCATTGCCAGAAGGTATAGTAAAATAATAGCTAACAAATGATGTATGTTTTAGGTTATATATAAGACCTTTGTAAATGTCTACGTGTGTGCGTGCGCGTGCGTCTACATACACATATATACATATACGTATTAAATATACACATATATATATTTTTTGAAACATGCATTGTGTCTGTTAGATTTCAGCCATATCCTCGATACGCAAATAACAGTAATAGCAACAACAATACTAGTACAAATGGTAGTATGACCACAATTTGCCAATCACAACCTGCAGTGTCTGTGAAAACAGAAGCAGTCATATCAACAGTAAGCACAAGTGGTGCTCCTTTAAGTCCTCTCGTAGAACCACATTCCAATACTTCAACTCCTTTGGTTGATGAACCCCAAATGACAACACAAAGACAGCGGAATGGTATTGGTGATGATGGTACGTAAATATTTATTATTATCACTTATATATTTTTAAATTGATAGAATAAAATAATGATATTGTGCAAAACAAAACTTTTAATATAAAAACTAAGCATAGTTTGAAAGCTGTTTTGTTATGTACATTCTATCCTGATATTTTTGGATATACTTATACTATTTGTATAAATATTATGTTAATTTTTACCAAAGGGATGAGCCTTTAAGTATATATACATAGCTAACACAACACAAATAGAGTATAAAAGATATAATGTTGATTACTACACTAGTGAAACTATTTGATAGTTCCTGAGACATCAGCATGCAACAAGTAGATGATGTCATTTGGATTATTAATCCATTGAATATGTTATATATACATATCTCATGAAAATAATTATGTTTTTATATTTTTAAAGTATTTGGTTTTTATAATAATCACATATTTTTGGCGTATAATTAATGATATAGCATTGATAATGTTATATAATTAATAAAACATATATATATATATATATATATATATATGTGTGTATGTGTATAGGGAGGAGAAATTATTAATTAAATATTAGTAAATTTAATTCATAAAATATTAAATAATTAAAGGGTACTTAATTTCCAAATTATCATCTTGGCATCAAGCTAATGGACTGGAAAACTGCTTGTACCTTATATCTTATCATATATTTATGAACTAATAGATATAGCTATACAAATATTATAAAAACGCTACTATTAGGTGTTCTTAAATCCTTACTATACAAGACTTTTACTAAACACCCTGCTTTAATCTTTTTAGATGCTGTTGTATTAGTTTCTGCTATGCATCTTTTATTATTTTTTATGCACTAATGGTTTAAAATAATTGTCTATGGTTTACCTTATCTTATGGAGTTGGTACCTGATCTTTATTTATATTTATTTTTGTTGTTGTTTGCTGTATTTGTTAGATGCACTGTAGCTGTTTGTTGGTTAGCTCTGTCACATACTCGATCTCGCTCACATCCCCTGAAGCTTGTTTTATTAGAGATTGAGACACAGATCAAAGGGAGAAATCAAAATGTATGGCTGCCTGTGGGTTGGTTCGTGGTTGCTGGTGAGTTATCCCACAGGGGTTGTTCAAAATTTCTTGTTGAAATAAAAGTTGTTTATTGACATTTTATTATAACATTATCTCATTTGCTGCACATACGATTAGTATAAGTTTTTCCATATAATAAAAGTAATTTTCCTTTTGAAGATATATTTCCATGAAAATAAGCCAAACTCACACATTAAAAAAATTAGTTTTAATTATGGCTATTAATATAAATTATATATAAATATTTTAATATAATAATATATAATAAATAAAGGCTAATATATAAACCTTGATTTTATGAAATTACAATGTGAAAGTACAATTACATAAAAGAGGTATGTAATATCAGACTGAGCATGCTGGCTTGCGATGTGCAGGTTTTATACTATTTATTATATTATAGTGGGTTTCTATGTACCTATTGCACGTATGCATGAAAATAATTTTGATTTCTTGGAATTAGGGTAGTTATATTCTCTTTTGTATATACAAATACTTTCTATTAAATGCGTGAAATAATTTTGATTTTATTCTTATCTTTATTACCTTTATATATATATATATATATATATATATATATATATATATATATATATATATATATATATATATATGTACATATGCGCGCGCGCAAGCGCACACACACACACACACGCATCCCTATAAGATATATTATATATAGCATATAATGCGCCATTATTTTATTATGCATTAACAATATGTCAACAATAATAATTTCAAAATACAACACAATTGTAATGATTGTGAATGTATCGCAGATATTATGCTAGAAAGGAGAGATATGCAATACTAACATATTACATCATTGAAAGTTATACATTAATTAATTTTCAATTAGCCTTTGGTATATACAATATCATTCTATAAACGTTTGTGAATTTTATTAAATATAAAATATCCGAAAATGTAATCCATTATATAAAATGTTTTCTATCTTTGTATCAATTTTTCTATAACTATCTAAAAAAGTATAATACAAAGATATGTAATTCGTAAGGATATATCATATCTTTTTCTGAACTTTCCCTTCTAACTCTTATCTATATATAATATTAATTCAGATCAGAAGTACACATGACGTGAGTTAATATTCGATGAATTGTTATTGAAATAAAAAGTTACAGCAATGATTTTATTAAAATTAATTGCAGAAAGAATATACTGTTTTAAATGTGCAATTTTTATTACCAATATTGCATCAACAGATATGCTGATTACAGCCACAATGGGTTCATGGCTTATTTTTATGAAAATTTTACATGATATTATAATTTATATATACTTTTTAGTTGTCAAATTGAATTTTTATTTTACAGATGGGGAAGCAGATTGGCAGGATCGTATCAGTTCTGGATTTGATCGTTTAGTTGCATTTGCATCAACAGAATTAGACAAGCGAAGAAGATCCACAGAAGGTGTAAATACAAGTCCTGATAGTGGATTAGGTTCGGATAGTACTGCAACAGGACCACCGCCTGTTGTTCCTTCTCCTGATGAAGCATTAGGACCTCCGCGGACACCTTCACCAACTAGTCCCCGTCCTGCAAATCCTAATAATGGTAGTGCAAGCAGTAATTCGTCAGTACCTCTCAAATATCAGAGACAAGTGGATCCTGAACGGCATCATTTCAAAAAAAAGTTTTTTCACAGAGATTGGAATAATTCTGGAAGTACCAGTAAATTTCGTCCTAAAGGAAAAGATTGGGACTGGAATCATTCTGGACAGTGGCCTCCAAACGATGAACAAACTTAATTAAATATTTGTTTATAATCAAATATTTTATTGAAGATGGGACGTTTTATAAAGTTTGTCTACAAATATGGTCATCTATGTGCCTGTGAAAACAAATTTAATATTTTCTAGCATCATTGACATTTTAACTTTTCACCGTTATGTTGATTTTCTTGCTACATTTTTGTCAATGTCAATTATTAGCAAATTGATTTAGTTATATTAATTTAAAATAATATACTGCATATGTAAAAATTATTTAATTACAAACTTTACAAAATTATTGGGTTTAATGATTAGTTAATTATTCAAACATATTTACTGTTTATACTGTGTATAAAATCGCTGAGTTAAGCATACATGTGAATATAAATTGTAATTTCTACGGATTTTGTATGAAAACGAAAGAAGTGTATACTTGAATAATGACAAGAATGTAAAGAATTATTCTGCTACTACTCAGCGCGCGATGTAATGTATGAACTTTAATATTAGACGAAATTTATTGTAAAGCTTGGTAAATAATTGCCAAACAAACGTGAAAATGTTATACCTCATAAAGGACTGTTGCGTACCTTTATTAGGTTATGACATTACACAGTACCTATGAGATTATGCCTTCTAAAAATGTATAGTTCATAGTCTACATCTACAATATGGCACAATGTTATTATATATACAACATACTAGACATAATAGTCATGTAAATAATGTGTCATATTTCATAGATGTTCGGACAGATATGAATGACAAAATAAGGCTACCAAAACCTTTGTGTGTTCGTAGCAAATAAATGGCTGCAAACTTTATAAGCAGCTCTATCTTCCAATGTCTTTTGGAGGACTTTATTCAAGTGTTCACTGTTACTCATAGTGTAAATGACAACAAAAAAGCAACACACGGTCATTTCACTTCAAAATATAATTACTTCCTTTTTGGCACAAATTTACATACAAATTTGTAAAATTGTGCGAATTATCCAAAGAGAGACCACTGCGAACATTAAGAGATTTTCATGCTTTCGTTTAAGCATAATTATGATTTAAAAGCAAAATACAACAATTAACACAACACATTTCGAAATGTGAAACTTTGTGTATAAAAAGATTCTTAATTATTATCATGTCAAACAGAAATATGTAAAAATAGCTTTCACTTGAAAAGGAATATGTAAAAAAAAGAAAAGAAAAGAAAAGAAAAGAAAAAAAAATGAATCGATTTATATGCACGATTGTAATTAATTATGGAATTATTTAATAATCCCTATATATTAGTAAATGTAGTCAATACAATGTAGGCACCTGCTACATTTCGCATGTTACATACACTGCCGAATCTATTAATTAATTTTATTATTGATCATTATTATTTATTGTTTTTATTGGAATATTTTAATACTAAGGTTTTTGTAACAATCAAGCATTCTCTTTTATTCCTACCTTCCATTTAGTCTTTAACTATGTTCGCACCAAGGTTATGAAAAAATTAAAATTATCATAAAGAAATTAAACTTTTACACAAATTTAAATTCAATTTGCAATAATGATAATACATTAATAATATTCAAGCTTTCTAACGTCATATTAGAAATTGTATATTATACGTATTGATAAAATGTAAGTACTAAATTTAATCTAAGGTACTGTATCATATCAAGAATGATAAATGGAATGCGAGTGTACAAAGAAGTATGTGTGAAGGGTATATATTCGCAATCACTAATAATTTAGAATAGAAAAAAGGACTTAATAATGTAAAGCAATTTTACGACACATCCTATTTACAAAAGAAATTGGGATTCTTTATTAAATATAAATTTACCGAATGAATGGATAGTGTCAATGAGTACAATAATTTCGTTAAACAATTACAGATGTGAAAAATACTGTAAATTTAGTGCAACAAAGTACAAAAGCTCTACCTGAAGAAATTATACTTATTATAACATCCGTTTTGTACACATTGATTATTAAACATAGGGTAAAATATATTACATTTTTAGTCAAAGAAGTATAAGATAAAACATCTTTTAAACTTCTGGCCATTCCATATATTGCCCTTATATCATAACTTTTTTTTTTTACATACGATGTTATTTTACTTACGCTTAACACATTTGTAAAATTTATTGTACGTTTATTCATTAACTGTTAGGGGCAATGACATTGTTAGTAGAGGCACCAGTATATATTTTACATTATGTGTACTTTTGCAATGATAATATACTGCGGGTATTGCATATCAGACGTATGTTATACAGTATGCGTATACGTATATATGAAGAAGCAGATGGATCTATTGTGATATTCGTCTTTGGAATGTTTTACAGTGTACAATATGATCTTTATATTGAATATTATATTGATTATTTTCGTCATTCAGACATCAGATGGGAATGACACGCAGGACGTGGAAATTGTAATGTTACCATTATGGAATACAGAAAGTGTTATTGAGGTAGTTATATATCCTCTGCAATTTTTTTTATGCGGAATTCATATCTGTTTTATAAAATTGTAAATTTATAAAATTGTCAGGAACAATTTAATTGAAAATTTTAATCATATTTTTTACAGATTCCATTAGCTTTCAAAGTCTTTGGACAACTCATCGAATTGAGATTACGTAAAAATACCAAGATAATAGCACCTGAATTCCAAGTTTGGACCCACAATGAAGAAAACGTTCTGCAGGAATTATCACATTTGAATAAACCGACTCCTTGTCATTATCTTCATATAGACGGTATCAGTTCAGCAGCTATAAGTCTTTGTCAAGAACGTGGTATAGTTAGTATTATTTTGTTATTTTTATTAATATACATATATATATATATATATATATATATATACTAGGCGCGCACACACACATTATTTATTAATTTAAAAGAATTATATTGTTTTATTATAATATGTAATGTTACAATGCATTTTTCTTTCTTTATTTGATACAGCATGGACTTATCTTCTTGGAAAATAGTACTTTAGAAATTACTCCAATGGGGGATTTAAATCCTTTATTCTTTGATTATCATTTTATCGGAGAACGTTCAGAAGCTCCTTTAAAAGATAGTGTACTGCACATTGTGAAAAGAGCTTATGCTCCTCCAATAACACAAGATTATTATATTAGGAAGAATCTCCAGTATGAATACTACAATTTAAATATATCCAAAACAAATCAGATACTTGAAAAAATTGAGAGAAGGCAAACGAATGAAGATTTAACATTAGAATTAGCTATTTTCCTTGATGAAACTGGATATAACACTTTTGCACCATTTTTTGATAAAGATGATGAAAAAATTCGTGACATGTTATTAGCATATATAAATGGAATACAAGCTCTTTATCATCAATCTAGTTTAGGAAAACAAATAGACATTTCTCTTGTACGAATGGACATAATGCATAAGCAACCATCCGATTTGCCAAACTTTGGTGGCGAAAGAGGTAGTTTATTAGATTCCTTTTGCAATTATGCAAAACTTCATAATCCTTCAGACGACAAGCATCCCAATCATTGGGATCTTGGGCTTTACGTATCCGGATTGGATTTTTATGCTATTGAAGATGGAATAAAAAATACAGCAACAATGGGTTTGGCTACAGTAGGGGGTACATGTATTGATCAATACTCATGCGTTATTGTAGAATTAGGAGTTACTAATCGTTTTGGAAAACCATATCCATCTGCAGGCTTTACTTCGGTTTATATAGCTGCTCATGAAATTGGACACAAGTAAGTGAGGAAAGGATAACTAGAGAGATAAATAATTTCAATAAAATATACGCGATTTTTTTTACATTAATTAATAAAAATTTAATTAAATAAATATTTAAAAAGTAAAGACAAGCTAAATAGATAAGAAAGTTTTTAATTGACTCTATAAGATGCAATAATTGATGTAGACGTTTTTCATTAAAAGCTTAGGAATGCATCATGATTCTATTGGTAATTCCTGCCCAAGGGATGGCTACATAATGTCACCCAGCAGAGGAGTACAAGGAGAGACGATTTGGTCGGAATGCAGTCGCGAGGTAGTACGAGCTCTTTCTCGCAACAAACCATGTTTACTGGATAAACCGACGTTGGAGGAAGACAAATCCCTCGATCATAGACGATTTCTTGATCTTCCTGGTAAAGAATGGAATGCAAAAAAGCAATGCGAGATACTTTTACTTGACAAAGATGCCACTGTCGCTACACTACATCAAGTTTGTCAGGCTCTTCAATGTAAAAGTCCTCATAGAAGTGGATATTATTTCGCCGGTCCAGCGCTGGATGGTACTGATTGCGCGCCTGGAAGAGAATGTCGTGCTGGCGAATGTCTTCCGGCTTTCCAAATCGCGCCAGGGCCAGGAGGAGGAGCTTTTATACGCGAAGGAGGTTGGAGCGATTGGAAGGTAGGGCCTTGTAGCAGCGGCTGTTTACAAAGGTCGAAAGGAGCTCGACAAAGGCATCGTTCTTGCGACAATCCGTTGCCAATTAATACCGAGGCTGGTTGCGAAGGATGGCACTACGACGTACAACTTTGCAAGGACGATAGACTTTGTAAGAAGAAGCGCAAAACCATAACCGAATTCGCTACGATCAGATGTATAGAATTTAGCGAGATATTATCAGAATTGGACGGTAGAGGTAGAGGGTTGCAAGCTATTCACGAATCTGACAGACCATGGATTGCTTGTGCCATATTTTGTCGTCGTAAAGACATAATGTCTTATTACACGCCGCGTATAGAATTAAATGACCTTGGCCTTGATCCGTATTTTCCAGACGGAACATGGTGTCACGAAGAGGGAGGTCAGAATTATTTCTGCCGTCAGCATCACTGCTTGCCAGAGGACTTTCGATTTGCAAAAAAATTTCTGTCCGATCATAAAGATGAAATAGAATTAGGATTAGGATTACAAAATGCTCGTCCGAATGAAGCGAAACCATCGGATCGATTGATAAAATATTTCAGTCTGGGACTCGATGGTTTACCATTATTGACGTCTTTACCAGTTAACCTTACCAACTTACCACCGAATGATGACGAATTGATAGACAAGGATTATATTGACCTTACGAAAGTCCAAATTCGATAACAAATTCTGCGTGAGAGCGCAGAGACTTTTATATAGCCAAAGGAAATAGTTTATAATGTAAAGTGTTAATTTTTTTTTTCTTTTTCTTAATAATTATGCTTATATGTTACATATGAAAGAAATTATACGTGAGCTATAGAACAACACATGTATTAATCTGCAATTGTGAAATAAATACAAAACAATATGTATTTCAGATCGAGCACTACATATGAACTTCTATTAGATTTGTATACACATGTCCCATAACTGTCTCTCGAAAGCTCGATCGGTGACATCACTCATTGTGTGGTTTATTTTTAGACCTATGTTATTATAATACCCACCACAATGCGAAGAAACCAATGATGGTAAAAGGATTTATAAACGAGAGAAAAAAAACAAAAACAAAAAAAGAAAAAAAAAAAAAAAAAATATATACGCGTATTCTATAATTTAGATTGTTCATATTATTTTAGTGTACAAATAATTAGTCAATCATTAAACTTAAGATGTATAGCATAAGAAAACTGATTCGCCATTAGAAAGGTTGGTACGTTTTATGAGCAATTCTGCTTAAGTATGACAAAAGATTCCACTTATCATATATGTACTAGAGAATAATGAGATTACAATGGATATTATTACAGGCTGATACTGTGAATATCTACCTTATTCTATTTTTAACTTATTATACGTCTAGTATATTATAATTGAAGCTGAATGGGTACATATATATAGAAGAATTTCTTATTTGCGTTTGAACACAATGATCGGTGGCTTGTTTTTGACATACTTGTGCAGAATTGCCAATAACACGCACCATCAACGCGAAGTGCACTTCAACGCAATCACGTACGCAGCATACACCTTTCACTCATATAGCACGCAAATTACTCATTCATAAAACGTACAAACAAATAATTCAGACCAGCAACCGCACAAAATATTTTTATCTTAACGAGTCTCATTCTATAATTGTATAACTTAACGTATTCGATCTTAATCAATACTTAGGATTCTTACCATATGCAAAGATAGATAATGTTTCATTTTACAATAGATAACAGACCTTTAACTCTTGACCTAAACCAAACAGCTATAAAAGCTTAACAAAATTTCAAGTGAGACATTTTTTGTGACCGAATCCTGTAAGAAATCACATTTTACTATTCATAAGGTGAAATTAGATTTGTTTCACCTTGAAGACGCCGTTCATTGACTTCACTTTATTATGTACTAGAACGTACATGCATCTATAACTTCATCGGTCAGGACAATCGGAGGATTGGCTCTTAAAATAATGCATATCCTCTTGATTTTTTCCCCATTGCGGACATTCAGTTTGGTAGAGTATCATACAAAATGTCCCTAGCACTTTGCGATAGTGTGTCTGGGAATTTAATATCGAATGAAACCAGAAGATCACCTTTCTTTAATGGCTCTTTTGGGAATGGCAAACCATGTCCTTGAATCCTCTTTACGATACTAGGCTTGACAATCTCTCTTGTTAAGTTTATACTGATTTTCTCTCCTATGAGCGTAGGAACTTCTATGATGGTACCGCATAAAGCTTGTTTTAAGCTTATTTTACATGTATATCTGATGTCACTGCCTTCTCTCCTGAAGATTGGATGGGGTTTATCTCTAATGATAAAAACAATATCAGCTGGAACCTTTCCACGACCTTGGTCTCCTTCTTTTTGAAAAGTAATCTTTGTACCAGCCTTCCAACCTGGCTTCACGTTAATCGTAAGGACTTTATCCTCCTTTTTCGTAGTCCCATCGGCTTGAACGACTCTTCTGCAAATCTTCATTTTTTTAGTACATCCACGTAATATTTCTTCCAAACTTATATAGAGATCATGTTCTATAGCTGGATCTTGAACACGATCTTTACTACCTCCTTTAACTGTCGTAGGTTCAGCAAAATTGAATGAATGAGATCGAAAAGCACTTCCTTGTCCACCTGCTTGACGAGCAAGTCCAAATCCAAAACCAAATGGATCTTCCATGTCCATGTCTTCGTCATGAAGATCGTAGGCGCGCGTGACAGTAGGTCCTCCAAATTCGAAGAACGTTTGGAAGGGTGTTGCAGAGCCAAAGAATTGCGCAAAAGTAGCACGCGGATCTCCATGGAAAGTGTACGATGCACTGCCACTACCTCCATCGGCAGATGCTCCACCCTTCAAACCTTCTTCCCCGTACCTATCATAAACTTCTCTCTTTTTTGTATCTGAAAGTACTTCATATGCCTCAGCTATTTCTTTAAATTTCTCTTCGGCACCGGCACTTCTGTTCTTATCTGGATGGTATTTCAAAGCTAATTTTCTGTAAGCTTTTTTTATTTCATCGTCACTGGCACCTTTTGCTATCCCTAATATCTTGTAATAATCTTTCCCCATTTTTATAAACCTGTAACATAAACAAAAAAGAAAAGAAAAAAAAAAGAAATTATGAAGTAATAAGTATCTTAAATTTTGCGATAGATACTTATTCGTAATTATATGTCTATATATATATGTATATATATTTTATTATACTCATTTTTGTACATTACTCGTATAAATAATAATAGTTCTCTTATATCATTGTCCCTTGTTATCGTATGAAATCCATAACAAATTAATCGAATAAAGGAAAAATAAAAGACAGACGGTCATCTTTCGAGATTCGATACGTAACCATAAAAGTCTTCTCAGTACGATAAAGTCGCGTGGTTTATAAAAAACAAAAAAAAGAACGACCGAACACTTAAATATGTCTTTTCGAATCTATCCAATTCATCTATCTAAATGGACATTTAATACGATAGTGTTATTATATCTTTTTTAAAATTTTTAATTGCTTTTCACTTTGGATATGTATGCGTACGCGCTTGCGCACGTACATTTCACGCGCATACAACAAACACGAAAGTAAGTACTTTGCCAAGCAAATTCTAATAAAATTATACCATTTTAATATGCGATATGCCTACCGTTTTATCGTACATGCGAATTATAGTTATGGAATTATAAAATGTTCATTCAACTGATAGAACGCACACACATATATATATATATATATATGCTGTGTATATACACACACACACACACACATATATATATATATATATATATATATACAGACAGATACAGACACACACCGATCACACAGGCGCGCGCCCGCGCGTTGCGACGCACGCACACACCCACCCACGTACGTATCACCGATAGCTATTTCTGGCAATGATGAACACGTATTCGCGACGAATCCATTTCTTCGAGCATGCTACGATTTCATGCGATGCAAAAATAAATCCAATCATATCTCGTGGCGAGCGTAAAATTTGTTCCCATGTACAATAAATAGAATAACATACGGTGTAAAACTCCTTCCTTTGTATATCACGTCTTTCTCGTTTGTACGTAAAAAAAAGATGACGAAGATTAATAGGAGATAAAAAAAATATCCTTAGACTCGAGACTTACCTTCGAAATTAGGTATATTTGTCGTCCAATAGAACGATCGCTCTTTTAAGCGTCACAAATTTCACTCGATTCGCTTTTCGTTTAAGTTTTGTAGAATATTCGATAATATATGTTAATCTGGCAGAGAAATCGAAGCAACCTTCAGCTTCTCTCGTCACGTACTAAAGTGTCGCGTAAGCTGCGCAGCCCATATATACAAAATTTGCTTCTACGAGTTTCCGGAACTTTCGAGAATGGCTCGACGCCAGTTCCGTGGCGCTCGCTTACTCAATGACGTCATTCGCTTTCTCGCGACCTCGATAGATCGAATGACGACTATCCTTTTAGCGGGCTTTTTCAATTCCTTCGTGAACAATACATTCTCTTTATTTGGAAATATAAGAGAGAATGCTTCGATTGAATTCATTGCAATTTCTTTGAAAATTTTTCTTCCCGTGTAAAAAATTACAATTGTTATTCAGACCGAATGAGCTCTCAGACAATTGAAATTATATATTTTTCTTCATGTTCGTACATACGAAAAGTACGAAATAAATTGTAAATTTCATTACATCGTTATATTATCATGTAGTATCGATCGTACTGTTTAGAACCGGTCTCTCTCTTTCTCTCTCTCTCTCTCTCTCTCTTTTCTTTCTAATATCCATCCTTCATTCGATTCTTCTTCAAAGAATCCCACCAATCCCAAAGTTCTGTCTTACGAAGCAGGCGCTGTAATGATCGATCGGCGGAGGCGGCGGCGGTTTTACTTTCCTTTAGCGGCCAATTCAGACAATTGGCCACATACACATTAGTATGCTCGTGCGTGTGTCTCTATCTAGTTTTTCTTTCCTATAAATTAGCTCCTTTAAAAATCCTTCTTTTAATTCTCTTTTCATCAATAATATCATAATAATTTTTAAACATTTAATCTTGATATTATGTCGACATTTTAATTAACAATAAAAAATGAGCCTAGTAGAAATGTACATGTAATTGTTAATTTTTATCGCATTTTTATCAATGGGCCACTTAAATTTAACTTCATGTTAATGTTTTCAATAGTGTCCGTTCAAAAAATAATATCCTGTAAAGGCTAATAAAAATTAATCTTGACTTGTATAGTGAAAAAGAATTTTTTTATTTGTTTCGTAATATAAAAGAAGCGTGGTTTGATCAGATCCTTTTGTTACAGTCGTTTAATATTTACTATCAAAGATAAAATCAATACAATTAGATTATCTACTTAATCGTAAAAATAGCGCATGTCTACATTCTCGTGAATTCGGTGGCATATATTTGTCATAAAAATCCTGAATAAATTCTTCAACTTTGAAACCAAATTTTTGGTACAAGATCAAAGCAGGATTGGTAGCAGATACATGTAATGTTACATCTTTTCCCATGCAAGTTTGAATAAGATGATATAACATAAATGTACCAATACCTGACTTTCGCCATTCGGGTCGCGTTAAAAAGAAAGATATATAAGCCTCGTTATAACTTACATCAGGTACAAGTATTGCAAATCCAATCACTAACTTTTTGTATAGAACAACACAGCTGAAGTCAGGATATTGTAAACATTCTGTCACTAAAACAGGAAATTTATGAGAAAGAAAAAAGGAAAAGAAAAAAAAAAAAAAAAAAGAAAAAGAAAAAGAAAAAAAAGAAAAGAAAAAAGAAATGAATTTATATATAAAAGAAGAAAAGTTTATAGTATAAAAATATAAAAACATGCTTACAGTCAATACCAGGCCAAAAGAATTGATTACACAGACTGTTGATCGCTGGAATGTGTTGTGGTCTAATATAAGAATAATCAATTGGTGCTCTTGTCAATGGTTTCCAAGATGAATTATTTTTATTAACTTTAGCACAAAGTTCTTCCATCACAGTTAACCATAATGGTCGACTAGAGGTATCTCTTCTTATAAATGGCTTTAAAAGTCTATTTGTATATGGACTAACGACAGATGTTGCTTCATTATACCCTTGTAATCTTTGTTCAAAAACATATCCTATGTCATCTCCAAAAAATCTATCTAGGACTCTATCGCATTCCTTGAAATGTCTCTTAGATACTTCTTTAGATCCAAAATGATCTATATCTAACAAAGGTAAACCATATTCTCTTTTCAATTTTCTAACAACTAATTTTCTGTATAGTCGTCTTGCAGAAGGAAAAGCAGAATATAGATAGCGTTTATTAACTCTTTGTAAGAGATATGCTTCTTCTTGATGCGTCATAAGAGGTATCTTCTCATCTAACGAATAATATTAATCAAACAATGTAAAACAATTTCTAAAATAACAATATTAAAGGATGTTCTAGCTATTTGAAGGATATTAATAGTAATAAGTTAAGAACATATTAATAAAATTCTCTAAAATTATTCATATAATAATTAAATATCATCTGTCACTTACTATTAACAATCGATTTTTGCCAAGGCCATTTATCTCGTTTTGTAGCTTGAAATAAAGAAGCTGGAGGTGGTTGCTCTTGAGCAATACTATCGTTACTTTCTTCTGCATATTGATCTTCTTCTCTTTTAATTTTATTATCAGTGATATCATTTATTGACTCTTCTGTTATCTCTGTATTGTTAGACCATTCAGATGTAAAATTATCAAATAGTCGAGGAAAATTAAAATTAGAATTTTGATATTGACAATCTGCCAATAGTTCTGACAAAGAAAGAGTGTCCTGCTGATCACGTAAGATTAAATCATCTTCCATATCCATATCTAAAATATTTAAAAGTTATATAATTTCATTTTATTGATTTTTCTTAAATTCCTATGTACCATTTAATTCATCTTCCTCCAATAAGAGGTCAGACAATGTTTCCGTTGGTTGTACATAAGCTTGCGAATACATTGATGGCCCTTGATTTTTGACTGCTTCTGCTCCATAATTGCTATCTTCTCCAACTGAAATACTTGATTCGGACGGCGTCGGACTAATGTATGATTTAACCGATGACTTTTGTTGATTACCATTTTGTTTTTTACGATCCATTATCATCTTTCCGTCTGTTACAAAATAAATACAATATAATAAAATATAAACATTATAATTTAATATGTATTTAACAAAAGTAAAATGTAAAAGGTCTATCAGAATGTTCCATCTGTTCGGCGGATAATTCATTTACTTAAAAACAGGCAGAACTTTTTGGTAGATCTAATATATAATTTATCAATGATCATTAATACTTTTAGCAATTAGAACTTCTGGCGGATCATTATCTATTAGTCTCCACCAACCAGATTCTCCTAATTCAACTGTTCCTGATTTAAAAAAGATCCCACTATAATGTGACAGTGTTCCAGAAATTGTACCAATCCAATTCTTTTTTCTTTTGCTAAATAAATCAGATTAGCTACGATAAATAAATAAATTTTATAAAATAAATAAGTTAGATTAGATGTGACAGTTAAACTAATCATCATAGGATGGCTAGAATTAAAAGTAAATTAAGTTACCTACACAGTTTTCTTAAATAAATGATCCCAATTACGATCTACAAAAGTACTAATATCTGACTTCCAATGGAAATATCCCCTTTTACTTATTCCACTGGATTTTTCTCTTAAGTTGTACAAAGTTAATACAATTACATTAAGCCATGGCATTCGATCTCTTATGACTGTTTCCTCGCCTAACGGACTGCAGTCAGTGCAATGTAATTCAAAGAAGACGTCTCCGACAAAAGATACTGGAACACTTCCTCTTTGAAGGCACTCGATATGAATTTTTCCAGCGCAATCACCATTGCAACGTAAAGCTGGTTTAGCGTACGGATTACACTGATTACCACACTTTTTACAAAGATCCATATCCGGTGCAATTGCATTAACATTATCGTCTTGTTTCTCATTAATCCCTTCTTCTTCCGTTACTGTCGCCATTCTATTCAAAATGAATATTTCAATATAATTGATTATTTTTTAGGTTATACTTTTAAAGAGAACATACAAAGTTACTCACGTGGATATCATTTATATAAAAAGTGAAAATAACGAAAGAAATTGATATTTATAATGATAATTTATTCATATTAAATTCGAAAAGATTGTCACGAGTAATATACACTGGCACAAACGTAAATAGAATTCTCAATTTGCCATAACCACGTGTGCTCGAGTATCGCATGTAAGAAGCCATTTTCTTCTTGTAAAGACATACATTTCAAATTAATGATTGCTAAATACACATGTTAGCAAAATGTTTATTATATATAACGGATAAATATTAAAATGCAAAATAATATGCAATATGATTTGTATTATCGATAATGCTATGCAATGTTCGTAATGTCATATATATATATATATATATATATATATATATATACACACACACACACACACACACACATATGACATTACGAAAACGAAAAAATACCACGTTGCTAAGACAATGTAAATAATAAACTCAAGTTCAGACGAATATTCAGACGATTGATCAAGTTTTGTTTGTAAATTTGGAGAGCGAAATGGCTATATCATTACAGTGTAAAGTTATATATGGCTTAAAAACAGATATTATTGGAAATGCTCATTACATTACAGACACTGAGATTTTATATCCTGTAGGAAATGCATTGTCAATACATAATATTTCTCAGCAACAACAAAAATTGATACATTTACCTGCTAAACTTCAAATAAACATTATTTGTGTTGCACCCAATAAGTGAGTAGTAGGAAAAATGCACGTTTAATATAAATTATGGTTGTAGCAATTGAATTGGCTATAATTTTAATTAAGGAAATATGCTGCTTTATGTGAGACTGGTGAGAAACCTACTATATCTATTTACGACCTTCATTCCTTAAAAAGAAGAAAATCTTTAGGAATACCGTACGAGGCGCACAATGCAATTAAATTTAATTGTATTGATTTTACCTTTGACAATAAATATTTAGCAGCTGTAACAGGAGAACCCGATCAAGCTATGCTTTTTTATAATTGGGAAAGAGGCAAAGTAGAGTCTAGTTTAAAAGTAGGTAATCCACAGGATGCATCTGCCATTGTTAATATAATATCCTGCAATCCATCAGATATAGGGGTAATGGCAATCGGTGGCCCACACGTATTCAAATTTTTAACTCTTTCCGATACAGTATGGCGTTCATATGGATTTTCAAAAGCTGAGAATATATTAATATGCTCTATGACTTGGTTGAATTCGGATAGGCTTTTAGCAGGTACAAAAGATGGAAGAATATTGTATATGGAAAATGGTGATTTGAAGAATATTTATCAAATGAGCGAGACTATGTCTATGCATCTAAAAATTCATGAAGAATATATTGTTCACACTGCTGCCTCTCCATTAGCTTTAGAAGATAAAGATAATGATAGATGGGAACATGATATTCTTTCTTTGATATCATTTCCAAAAGGCTTCGCATACGCCTTAGGTCCAGGAACAATAATAGTTTTTGAAAAAGAAGGCCCACATAAATATGTCAAAAGAAATGTCTACTTGGTTCCTTCACAAGTGGCTAAAACTGATACATCGGATTTGTATAAAGTTAATACCATAAATATTAATATAAATTTTGATCGCCTATTGGTAACTACAGGATGGTCTCAATTATTTTATATAACATTATGGGGTCCGGATTTAAATATGGACCCAGAACCAAAAGAAATGAACATAATGGGCCAATCATTGCATTATGGCCCTATTAGCGATTTGTCTATGTGCGCATGGAAGCCAATTTTTATGACCTGTGGAGAAATTGACAGAAGCATACGAATATGGAATTTTGAAACTGTAAGCTTAATCATGCTTAAGCAATACGAAGAAGATATCTGTTCGATTGCTTTACATCCAATGGGTTTATTTTGTCTTGTTGGATTTGTCGACAAACTTCGTTTCATGAGTATATTAATAGACGATTTACTCCCTATATATGAATTTTCAATAAGAAATTGTAAAACTGTAGTTTTCTGTCACAGCGGACATTTGTTCGCCGCTGTAAATGGAAATGTTATACAACTTTATACAACTATTGGCTTTTATAATCGTTTCCTATTGAAAGGGCATATAGCAAGAGTAAAAGGCTTAATATGGTCTCAAACAGATACCAAGTTAATAAGCATGGGCGAAGAGGGTGCCATTTATGAATGGGATATAAATACAGGACAGCGTACTGCAGAGATCATATTAAAAAATATCATTTTGTATGATATTGCAATTGCTGCCGATGAATCCTTCTTATATTGTATCGCAAATGATAATCGAATACGTAAGATTAAAAATGATACGGTAATAATAATGTTTGTTTAAAAAAATGCCTTAACGGCCGTAAGAATTTAATTTTCAAAAGTTATATATTCATTGTTATTAAATTTTTACGCAGGTTGTATCTGAGTTTACCTTAATGGATAAGGCGATAGATCATATGGTAATGGGGAAGAACGATACATTCTTATTTCTGACTTGTTTGGGAGGTATTATATTGTCATTGAAATGTCCTCTTCAATTATCCGTTGAATTTATAGATTTTCATATTCATTCTAGCGATATTACAAAGGTAAACATTATCCTTGACTTTTTACTCATCAATGGGATAAAATTTATACCTAATTCATTTTAATTTTATTCCAGATAGCTCTTTCTTATAACGAACAGTATTTAGTGTCCACTGATAAAGATGGTAGTTTATGCATTTGGAAATTATATTATGCAGATGGAAAAGTGATAACAGTGGATAAAGGGCTTATATTTACTAATGAAGTATTGATTGGTAAAACGGATTTGGAAGAAAAAATACAAATGATTAGTGATTTGACAATAAGAATGCGGGAATTGGAAACTGAACATGCATACAGAATAAAACAAATGGAAGGTCAGCATAATGATAAAATGCGTGAGGTACATCAGGGATATTGCGCAGCTATTCAAGAATTAAAAGACAAGATGGATAAATCGCAAGAAGATCATACAAATGAATTAAATGATATAAATGTGGAAATAATAAAGATGAAAGGTATTCATGAAGAAGCTATGGAACAAATGGAGATTAGTTACGATGCCAAATTAATTGTGGAATATGACAAGTACCAGGCGTTGGAGGAAAAAAATAACATTATGCGCCAACATTATGAAAAGCGTTTGCTCGATTTGGAGAAACACAGTGGGGATATACTCCAGCAAACTATAATTAAATATGAAGGACTCGTTCATGAGAAAAAGGTACAACTAGATGAAACTCAAGAGGAAATGGAACATCAAGCGCGTACACAGGAATTATTAATGGCCCAAATAGAAGATGATGCCGATAGAGAAATAATTGATATACGTACGAATTATGAAAATGTTTTGTATGAGGAGAGCCAAATGAATTTAAGGCTGAAGGGTGAAGCTGGAGTGTTACGTAATAAATATATGGCCGGTCAAAGGGACATAGAAGAGTTGAAAAGGCAGGTTCAGCGTGTACAAGGTGAATATGGTCAATTTCAGAAAACTATATTAGAATTGGAAAAGGACGTGTCGGATTTAAAGAAAGAAATTAACGAAAGGGATATAACAATTCAAGAAAAGGAGAAGCATATGTATGAATTGAAACGTACTAATCAAGAACTAGAGAAATTCAAGTTCGTTTTAAATTATAAAATTCAAGAGTTAAAGAATCAGATTGAACCTAGGGATCAGGAGATCAGAGACCTTAAGGAGAAAATACATGATATGGAAACAGAATTAGTAAATCTTCATAAGACAAATGTTAGTTTAGAATTGCAATTACATGAATTAAAAGAAAAATTAGCAACAGCACGACGCGAGATTTATATCGAAGTACAACGGAATAAAAGGTGTCAACGTCTATTAAGAAATGTACAAGTAGATTTACTTGATGCTGCCGGACTTATACAAGAACCGCATGCATTGAAAATTGCGGTAACAAATTTATATCACAAGTACAGCTCGGACGATGAATTTTTACGCAGTCGTAAAGCTGATTTAGAGGCAGAATGTGATTTTATCAAACAAAGGGATCACTTAGAGAGGACAGTAGCATCACTCAAAAAGCACGCCTTTCGCACATCAAGTGGAAACAAAGATCTAGATAAAGCAATATTGGATAATGTCACTCTTATAACAGAATTAAATGCTTTAAGAGAGGAATTAAAATTGGCATATAAGCATATAGTAGATATGGAAAGTTTATTAGGATTAACAAAGGGAGATATCAAGCCGATGGAAGCTAGGAAAAAATTGGAAGAAGCTTGCCATGGATACGAACAGTTGCAAGCTGAATATAAAGTTGAAATGCAGGATTGTCAAAGTTTAATCGTTGCATTAAAAGATGACATAAAAAGGCTTTTAAACAAATTGCCATGCCAAGAGATAGAAAAGTGAAACTTTTTATACTAAGTAATATGCGTGTTATTATGGATATTATTATATGATACAAAAGAGTATATATATATATATATATATATATATATATAAATGATATCTGAATAGAGATCATTATTTTATTTGAATTAGTCTAGGCATTAGATAATTTTATATCTTTTGTTATATGCAAATTGGTATGTATTCCAAGGCAAATGAATATTTATTATTATAAAGCAAGAAGTGTTTATTGAAAAAAATAATAGATACCAAAGGTAAAAGAAATACATTTATACATTGTTACCTACGTTATTGGCAAATTCATTAAAAATACCTTATCCAAGGTATTTGGAATGTTGGTTGCCTTTTCAAATATATTAAAGTATAAATGGGAAAATAGCTTTACGGTCTTTGGGATATTGAGAGAATTCTTTCTTGTATGCTCTATGTTTTCCTAATGCCCACATGGTCATTTGGTAAGCACCAGCCAAGGTAAATAGTCCAGCTATATGTTAATATCAAAATACAGTAACTTATTGGATTTAACATATTTATGTATAATTGTATTAAAAAGCTTCAATAATGTTATTACAGTACCTGGAAGACATGAAGTCATAATGGTAAAACCAATCCAACTGCCAATTTCATATGTATAATTTGGACAGGAGACAAAATTAAATAGTACTGTCCATGGATTTCCTGTAGCCACAGGAATCTTTCTAATTGTAGTCCCTGCTGGCCTGAGGTTTCTTAATGCTTTGTGAATGAAAAAATTACCCAATTCACAAAAAGCAAACATGACTAATCCCGCATAAAAATATAACTGATTTGGTGGTGTATACAATGGATGATTGATATGATATGCCACATACATTGCAAATAACCAATAATATGAGCAATTTTTGAAGAGGTTACGTAAAGGCATAGTAGCATGACTAAAACGATGTACAAATAATGTTTCTAATAAACGCTTGGCATAGTGTATCGTCCAACAGATAGCTGCAATGCTAAAATAAGATACTCTTTCTAATATTTCGTTAGTATATTATAATATTACACCGTAATATCATAACGTAATATATATATATATATATATATATATTTATAACCTATAAAACTTTTACAAAGTCTATTACTTATACCATGTGTAATACTTACTTGACCACAGAATGTATTTTTGTATTTTCAACATCACCATAGAATAACCAAGGACGTTGATACAACCAAAGGTATACTATTAGGGGTCCCGCGTATTCCACTAAGAATACAGTTTTCCATCCAATTTGTGGACCCAAATCTTTATAGTATAATTTAGCATCAAGCCGCAAAGATAAAGATTTTACAGTTTCTGAATCTGTTAGAGCTTTTCCTTTTGCCTCTAATCTTAAACTTTGTCTTTGTACATAAGGTGCCTTTTTTAGTTCATATAATTGTTGTTTAATGGCACCTATAGTAGTGTTTGGATTTACCTATAAATACAATGCGTATTATTCTCTCAATCTCTTTTATGTTTACAAGACATTGTGTAGCAATATATCCAATAATATTTCCTTATTGTTGTTACTACTTAATATAGACGCACGCACGCAAGCACGCATAATACTTATCGTTGTATTAACATTTTTATATACAAGTTTTTATGTGTAATAATAAATTGAAAAAATTCTCTCCATTGGATTATAATTATACAGTTTGAAAAGAAGCTAATTTGCTGAATCATTTTGTTTGTAAAAATCTTCAATTTGATTATTTTACTTACATTTACAGTAGCAATAGATTTTGATGATCTGGCGTTTACAATTTCGAGCTGAAAAGGACGAATTTAGAAATAAATTTTCACATTTTTATGCTATTTATGATATTTGCAAAATCTTAGAAAATATAGAATACCTCCATTACTCGAATTCGATAAAATTACACGTTCTGTCAATTACAACATAAACAATTCCTTCGAGAGATCAGATTCGACTGGCGAGCGTTTCATTCGTCACGCACTTAATACCGTGGCGCTGTTCGACCATTATTAATATGTTGACTTCTAGTACACTTTTTATCATGTCACGTAACCTCTTTGAAATTCCTTTTGAAAAATGTTTTTATATTTGTATAGGTCATTAGAACGAAGATAATTGTTTAGAAGCTGCGTATATTATTATTAATTTATATATTATATAAATATATTTATTATTAATATGCAGAATATATTATTAATAATTAGTGTTATTCTCTGAAATTCAAAATACTTATTTCGAAGAGTACAAATTATAAAGTTGATTGATAAATTGTCATTTTTCGTTAGAAAACATTGCATTTATACGTCTTACCGAAGGTAGAATTTCTTTTTAATTTATACGAATGTTCGTAGAAAAGACCTTTGATCTCGGCAAATGTCTTGACTTGTGTAAATGAAGCGAAATCGCATAAATTTTAATTCGATAAATATTCAAGGTTGACAGGTTGTATTTTTATTTTTTCTTTTTCAATCACGAGTAATTATCGAATAATAAATGCTCTTTCTTTTTTCCTTTTCAGAAATCGACTAATGTAATTTTCAATTACATATTGTTTTTACGAAAACGATTTCAATATAGGTATCATCTTGTTTTCGTACGACATTATCAGTCTTTATTATTGAGCATTTACTTGAACTCAACCTAGTTTCGAGTTGATAAAAAATACTGCTTCGCTATTAAAAGTATTTACAATTCACTTTTTTTTTATAGATAAAGAAAAACTTGAAAGAATAATAATTATTATTTTGTTATTATAATAGTAACGAATGAATAGCATTTTAATATTCAGTTCATTTTTACTTTTTACATTTATTGATTTAAATTTGTCAATTAAATGGAAAATGAAAGGAAAAGAGAAGCTAATACGTGGTTTGAAAAATCTACAAATATATGGAATATTGCGACTGATTATTCAATGCAACATTCATTTCGAGGAAATTTCCGATTTTTAACGTAAATTAATATCGTTTTCATTCAAATCGGATATAGCATGACTTATTTTTACTTGGAAATTTTATCGATCAAAGCAGTTTACTTATTATGCAAAATTTGAGGAGCTAATGAAATTTTTAACTTTGCCAAACGGCAATTGCCATATGAAATATGAGATAGCTAAAAATTCTTTTTCTTTTCTTTTCAGATATCGAACAACTTATTACAACGATAAGGCAGCGTTCGGAATTATCAACCGTAGATATCAATGTTTTACTATTGGCTTTGCCGATAATAGCATCGATAATATAGGAATAAAAGGATAATATTGAATAAATCTATCGTTTATACTTACATAGGACTCGTACGTATATATATATGTACACACAATATATTCTTTTATCATTCATATGTGTGTGTGTGCGCGCGCGATAAATAATGTTCGGGTTATAATTAAATTAAATTGATATTGGAAGAATAATACGTGTCTACTTTGAAAGAATTCTTAGAAAAGAGAATCGTTGAATCGCGTCATATCTTTTGATTGTTCATCGATCTCCGATTAAAATAACTTAAATCACTCCAGTTGCCTTTCTATATTGTCCAAAATGTTCCAAGTACTGTTGTATCGTATCCATCGGTTGATAAATCTCATTCATTCGATTCTGCAAGAGAACAGGTGTCATTTTCATATCTATCGATTTATATAATATTTTTGATTAGTACAAAGAGAAAATAAGTCGTGATATATACTTGCAAGTATTGAGGAGCTTGATTCGATACAGCGGAACCAAGAAATCCTTGAAGGAACTCTCGCAGAAGTTCCCAGGCACTTCCCGGAATGACACAGGGTCTATACTCGACCTACGTGAAACAAAGAAAAATCGTAATAGTAAAAAAATAATAGATATATACATATAAAACGTGTAGTCTCGATGATGTGGACACGTAATTGAAAACTTGGGAAGACCAGCTTGATTTACGTGCGCCTCGTACGTAAGGCTATGAAATGCATTAATGCTATATCGTCGTACATACATATATACGATATACATATATACGATTTAATCAAATCGAATCGATTGAGTGACATCGTATTGCGAAAAGAGACCGGTTGTAATTTAAGAATCAAGGTGATTGCTGATTAGGTCGTCATTAACGCGATCGCGTGCGAATATACAATCTGATTGTTTGAAAGTAAAAAATTTACTCTCTCAGCGAAGAGCAGGAGATAAAAATATTTCGCTTAACATATATTAATGTATGGTTGTTAACAACGACGAGAAAAAATGGAGAAGAAAAACCAAAGGACAAAAGTAAAATCTATGAAGCGCAAACACGAAATAGCAGCTAATGTGAGTTAGCTCGATGATGGAACGTTCACGATTAAATAGCGCATCGCATCGGGTCGTTTTTTTCTAAGAGTCGCTAAAAAGCGTACGTTCTATCTCCCTTCTTCCAAGCTCGCCTCGATAACTCGTTCCAGAGCGCTGTTTCGAGGGTGCATTGAAAATCTAAAGAGAAAGGGAAGCTCGTTCGTCGCTCGTCGTGGTAATACTCGAAATAATGGAAATACCAAGTGGAAAGTACCTTATTTTGCCCTTTTCTCTCTATTTTTTTTTCTTTTTTTTTTATCCTTTTTCTCTTTCTTCCTTTTCTCTGTCCCCTGAGAAAAGAGAGTCGGTGCAGCCAAAGACGGAGACTAGAGGGACTTTTTCCAATTGAAATTAATGGAAGAATGGTGGTTTGTTTTATCGCAACGTCAAATTCGACGTCATGGAATTGTATAAACGGCGCAGTTATCGATACGAATGGGACGTGAGGGGACATTTAAGACTAAGGAGTCATCGATATATATCTATACATCTATAGAGGAGGAGGAGACTTAAGTATTCGTCGTACAATAAGAATATGAAAATACATATGTATATATACGTACGTATGTGTTTTTACAATTAGGTACGAAGAAACGAGTACGAGTTTATACGAACGATATAGAAGACGTTTAGGAGACCTACCGAAAGTTTTGTCACGGAGAATAGTCCGATTCTACATGGACGAGCAAAATCGACTAAAGGAACGAGGAATGTTGAGAAAAGTATTCTGGAGATTCGATATCGAGAAGGAATTCGTACGGTGCTTGGAACGTAAAAGATAAATAAAGGATACGTTCGATATCGAATGGATCAAATTCTTTTTCATTATCACGTTCGGAAGAACGCAGAGAAGAAAAGTATAAATACAAGTCAATCGAAGAGAGTTTTTAACGTAAAAAAATAATCGGACCCAAGTAGGATGACTTAGACGTTATACACGTATCGATAGGTGTGTTACGTAAAAACGAACCACTGTATATCTATACAGGATGATGATCCCTATGACAAAATGGCAAACTGTAATGAAATTTCGCGATATTAATTATATATTATAAATATACAAAAGGATTTAAACGCAGCAAATTTGAAGGATTAACGCGTTTCTCTTTGAAGAACGGTCTAGGTATATAATCTTTTTTTCTTCCGTTCTTTTCTTTTTTCCCAAATCGGCTTTGCGTTTGCATATGATTCCGAATATATGTACGCGATCGATGAATACGATGATGCTCGAATGATACCCTAATGCAATTAATGACGGAATACCGATCGTAATTATCTCCAATAGAAATCATCGTGAAGCGCACATTTTGCGGTTTTACGATCGAACGAATCGGGCCTGAACGACATCGTATATCTACATATACGAGTATAATCTGTGAAGTGTAATTCGTGTGCATCGTAAAGCTCTCTGTCCGTACCGTTTTCACCCTTCTCTCTCTCCCTCTTTGCGAGATACTGTCAATCGATAACGCGGAGTAGTCACGTGATTGGCAAGGACCCCGGAAGTAGCGAAGTTGCGATTTCAAAATCTTCCGATCTAATCGCGATTTAATTACCTACCCGCCTACCGTTACAATCCGTTAAATCGGTTTTCCTTTATCGTGGAAGATTCTAATGAACTCTTCCTTCCTCCCTCCCGTCCATCCATCCATCCTTCTCTCTCTTTCTCTCGTTCTTTCGGAAAAGCACAACGGTTGCCAAATTAATAATTTAATCGGCCACTCCGTCGAAAGTTCAGAAAACTTTGGAAAATTTCTTTGCGCTTAAAGACTCGCTGTTTCTAAAAGAGAGAGAGAGAGAGAGAGAGAGAGAGAGAGAGTGAGAGCGATTAGAACAGGAACAGCTGTGGCCAGTCTCACGTGCGATCGCTCGAAAGAAATAATTCACGGGACGTGGAGGAACTCGAGATAGATAGGGAGTAATCGGAGAAGATATTAAAAAAAGAAGAAGAAGAAGAAGAAGAAGAAGAAGAAGAGAAGAAGTGTATTTTTTGTAACTCACTTCGACAAGGATACCCTTGAAATTCTGGCTCATCGTGACGCTGCCGAGTTTGACGCAAAAGTCCCCAATCTCAAAGCGTGGGCCCTTAGATTCGATCTTGGTTTGTTTTTTGCTCGTATAAATGCTCGTCATCTTCATCATCAGAAGATCGAAGAGACCATCTGCGATCAATGGTACTATCTTATTGCCAGACTCGAGAAGAGCGAAAACAGAGGCTGGTTGTTCCGAGTTGTGTAGTACATGAACGGTTCTTTGAACACCTGTAAACGTAAAGAATAAATATTTAAGCTCTTCTTCTTTCAGACCTCTAATGTAAAATATAAATCGATTGATGACTCCAAGGAGGTCGGAGAAACGTCTTAATAATTATTTTACGTAGCTTCGTTAAAAGTTTTGCAACTTTTGGGATGGAAAGAGCTGAGAGACATTGTAAATACACAACTAGATTCTTTGCTGTTAACACCGTGGAAGATCGAACGCGGAAACGCATATTGAAATGCAGTCAAAGTTACACGATGCTAGTGGTTCGTTTAACGTGCATCACGTTGCTCGTATCGGCACGATAGTTCAGGCGCACATGTAGTACATCAAGAAGGGAACTTAAACTCGAATCTAACTTAAACTTTGAACTTGCCGTCGAAGTTGCATCCTGTTTGTACGTCGTCGAGTAGCATGCGCGAATCCATAGAAGCGAAAACTACCGAGATCGGTAGTTTATTCGCCATTGGAAATGGGTTTTTCTCTTTCTCTCTCTCTCCCTCTCTCTCTCCCTGTTTTCTTTTGAGCGAAGCGGCACGAATAGATTTTCAAAAGTATCGTAAAAGCGTGCGAAATGAAATACGTAAATCGTGTATGCTCAGACGGTTGAAATTTTCTTTATGAGCGCACGATGGAAATGCCGCGAGCATATTTTTATCGAGAATTATTTGGATAAAAAACATCGACGTACATCTGCTGGATGTTCCAAATGTATTGGAATGAAATCACTGTATTGGATTTAATTATTAGCTGATATCCAGGGATAATTATCGATGTGCTTTTTTACCAGTAAGTATTATAGTATCACTTTGGTGCGATAAAAAAATTAAAAAAGAAATTAACGAAAATAGATTTTTTTTTTTTTGTAGATAAAATAATCAATATCGAAAGACGGGAGTAGCGAATAATTGAGCATTATGTTAATACGAAAAGATATATGTATATCGAACCGATTGAGGTATACAGAGCTCGTACGGATCCAGATATATCATCTGCCCCATGCATGTATCTATGAGTATAGATCAAATCAGGATGCTGTTGATGTGTATCGCGAAAGGTTTAACGCGCAATTCCCCGAAATATATGACGTGCGAAATTCTCTGAATATTCATAATTCGCTGGCTATTCTCTCTCTCTCTCTCTCTCTCTCTCTCTCTCTCTCTCTCTCTCTCTCTCTTACTCCGTACTTCGTCCACATAATAGCAGCGGGCTTATACAGTTTCCGCTCTGACCGATGCACCATGAATTATTTACGCGTCGCTGTTATAACCGGCTGTCCTCGCGGCCACGTCGAACGACAAAATTTCTTAATTGCGGCTCGCGTCGCGTGCGCGTACGCAGTAATTTTCGATCTCTCGGTAGCATTATTTATAGCTCATCGACAAGTTTAATAATTAACTTTTCATAATTATAGATTAATCCGAGTGCGGCTCCACATGAAGGTGGACGGGAAACGAGTAGCGCATCGCAAGTAGTTCGAAACTAATTGCAATTGGCGATAAATCGTGGAAATTGCATTCTCCGACGCGAACCGATTGCATCTTGTTCGGCCGCTTGCTCGCAGGAGAGCTCGATAAAAAGTATATCCCAGTAATGTAAATCGTGACTTTTGATAAACGAAATAACGAGATTATCGGTCGGCAGAGCTCCTACAAAAGGTTCTTTCACCACGTGTGAAAAGGAAATAATTAAAAGAGTGGGAGAAAAGGAAAATCGTCCGTTCGCCGTTGGATCCAGTCGATGGATCCAGCCGAATAAGCGATATACCTATATCGTCTTTAACGGCTATAAGAGGTAGGTATCCATTTGCGCACGCAATTCGCTCGCTTTGACCTGTTTTCGCGCGTTCGCTCCACAGAAAACAACGAGGCTACATAAGCTCTTACCCTGGATGAGTACGAATTAACGAAGGCCCTCTGATTATTAACTCCGACCCTCTTTCATCTTCTCTCGCAACTCATCCTCCCTCAAGCGCCCCTCGAAGGATGGACAAGGCACGGAGATGAGGCACGGACGAGGCGGCTTTCCCGGGCCGATCTGGCCCGGTAGATACACCAACGGTTTACACCAACGATCGTACGGCCCTGTGACGCGCCGCATGCCGCATACCGCATTGTCTGCATCGCACGTATGCGCCGTTCTCTGTTACACGGATGCGCTCTCGTGCGGAGGCCGGCGCAAACGCTGCGAAAGCACCAGAATCTATCTCGCGCGTCTCACTTTCGAGAGGGAGGTCACCGAGCAATTATACATTAGAGGAGCGCATCGAGTCGAAATAAATAACATTGTGGTCCACCTCTAATTTCGTCTAGAATCATTTCGGTTGCACTTTGTCCGCTCGTTTGTCCGCTCGTTAGGCAGCTTGCCTTTCGAGTTTGCGCTACTTAACCGAATATCCCGGGCAAATTCGAATTCGTTCGAATCGACGGAATCGTTTTTGGCGATTAATTAAATCATTGCAATTTCCTATGTAAATATATATTTCACTTTATCTTTTTCTTATCTGTGTCTTCGATGGAGCTACGTAAGCTCCTTAAAAAGAAGAGAAAAGAAAAGAAGAAGAAAAACAAAACAAAAAAGAAAAGAAAATAAAATCCTTCCGAGGTTTCGCCCATCAGTCGTTCTTCCCGGGCTAATTAGAAAGGGTTCGTGAGTCCACCTGATAAAATTAAAAATGCATATCCTCTATTCTGTTTCTCTATTGAACCGTATTCCACGTTCAATATAAAAGAGAAGATGGATGTACCGATTTTCCTTTTTTCTATTTCTCGTTCTCATTTATTGCGAACGGACGCCAATGCCCGATAGGACGCAATATTCTCCTTTTATCAAGCATGTCCACGCTTCGGCCCATTAATTACGACTCGCCCCCGACGGCAACACCGACTCGTCGAGATTGCACCTGTTTTTGTCCGATGAGAAGTATATCCACCGAGCCCGACGCAATTTCGTTTCGTGCCACGCGCTACCGTATCACCGCGTAGAACAACTGCTGGTATAGTTCTGCCATAGTGAAATGTCATTAATGAAGCGTCAGCGTACCATAAATCGACCGTAATTTTCATTCTCTATCAGCTTCGAATAAATTAAGAGGATTTCAATTTCTCTATACGCTTGATCTAAGCTCGGAGAATATTGAATAACGAACGAGAGACGTTTATAGAAAAACACTGAGAAATTTTAAGGAAAGAGTCTTATTCTTTCTCTCTACCTCTCCAAATGGAAAGATCTTTTCGAAAAAGAAGAAGAAGAAGAAGAAGAAGAAGAAGAAGAAGAATAAAAAGGTCTTCTCTCAATTCTCGAAAAGTATCTCGCCCTCGCTGTCTCCTTTTCCCTTCTTTCTAACCGAATTGACGTTTCTATCGACGTGCAGCGGTAATAACTTCAGTTTCCGATGATGACGGCCGATCGATCAAAGTGTCGTCTCTTGTATTCGTTCGATTTCCGGCCCGAAGAACAATCGTGGCGTGCAAACGCGACCTTACCGTACCTACGGCCTTTCCATGTTAATTTCAATTTCATAGGAATACGCGAACGACGATCGATAACGGGACGAAATGTAAAATTGAATCTGGCCATTGAAAAAAAAAAAAAAAAAAATAAAGTAATAACGTTTACGGCGACAGTTTATCGAGCTTATTTAATATTTTCGTTACTTACATTGTAAGACTTCGAATCATCTGTCAGAGAAATCAAGAGAGGCACACTTGGAAGATTCAAAGACCTTCCTCGTTACGGGGCTTCTTAACGTGGCATTGTTCTACACACGATGTTGATTCGACCCCTTTTTATTATCCTCGTGTCGCTCCAGAAATGAATATGAGCGTCGCATGCCATGTATTTTAATTGTCGCAAAAGAACATACTTTTTCTTTTGTCTTTCTCCCTTTTTCCTAACGCGAAACTCCATTAAAGTTAACGACAATTACAACGTCAGAAATCGATAATAAATCGATCAATGGCCACGCGAGATAATGATTTAGCGAACATATCATAATAGAATAAGGTCGAAAAAGAGAAGGTGTTATTCGATCGCTTTCCTATTCGACGAGATTTGCAATCGCTTTATTAAAAGTATCAGCTGTTGCCAGTAGCTAACGCTATCTTCGTCGCGAAAGTTTATAAACTCGGTATCTCTTATTCTTTAAGAAGAGAAATATGCGGATAAGGGAAGACGTTTCGATCGTACGAACGACGATGACTCTTCGACAAATTATTATGGATAGTACTAAGGGGTGCAGTCGCGCATCGTCGCGCTCCCTTATTCAAGAAGACCGTTCCGACCATAATCGACCGTCTTCTTTTATAGGCGGAACGTGCCAAACGGCTCTCCATAATCGCGACAAATTGAAATTTGATATACATGCGCGATCGATCGATGAGAAATAATGCGAGACGAACTTTCGATTCGTTTCCTCATCGAATCGATGATCTTCGAGAGATAAAAGAAAAGAAAGTCAAAATAAAAAAATGATGTGATCACGAGAAGTCGTGATAATTTTTACTTTTCTTATTCCCCACTCGACCATGACACTTTGGAAATTGTCAAATTCTATTGTATTTGATCGGACCCCTGCTATTTGAAAACTTGCCCCAATCACGATGAGAAGGATCTGGCGGGAGACCCAACATTGGGTTGGTCCTTATTGTCGAGCAATTTATTTTCCATTCAGGTAAGGATCGGGGGGCGAGAGAGAGAGAGAGAGAGAGAGAGAGAGAGAGAGAGAGAGAGAGAGAGAGAGAGAGAGAGGGAGAGAGAGAGAAATTAAAAAATCGGAGTGTGCTCGAGTCACAGTATCCCTCGCCTCAAAGAACCGTCTTTTATCGGGGTAAAATTCCATCTCTGTCAAAGGTTAACCACAGAAACCGAACGGATTCTCGCTTAATCCCACTCCTCGAGCGATCATCCCGGTAATTATTCTAGAGTTCAAATCGTTCTTTAGAAACGATCAAATTCTATCGGCAAAATTAGCTGTAGCTAGAAAATTTGATTCTTTTACTTTTTCTTCTTCTTCTTCTTCTTCTTCTATAATATATAAGAAAACAAGGGCGGTAAAGACTCTATTAAAGAAGAAAAAGAAGAAAAAAAGAAAGTTACTTCACGTAACGCGTGCAACTAACCTACGTTAAGGGTAGAACTTTAGGTCACGATTCGTATAACACTTTTTCTCTTTCTCTCTCCCTCCTTTATTGTTGGCAGCAGCTGGAAGAGAAAGAGAGAGATGCGTAGACGCGCATCCAGCTTTGGCAGGTGTGTATGCGCGCGCGCGCTCGCGCCCACCAAGAAGAAACAGAGGAGAGGGAGAGAGAGAGAGAGAGAGAGAGAGAGAGAGAGAGAGAGAGAGAGAGAGAGAGGTAGATAGAGACAAGGTTCGAAGGACAGAAGGAACCGAGGGTTAGAGACACGCGCGCGAGCGCTCTCCAAACGATCCATCTAATATATTTCCCTCTTCGTCTCGCTTCTAGAGACGCGAGAGAGACAGAGATATAGAGGGATAGACAGAAAGAGAGAGAGAGAGAGAGAGAGAGAGAGAGAGAGAGAGAGAGATCCGTAGGGAGGACGGGACAGAGCTTTGCGCAGGGGGTTTTCGTGCGCGATGCCACCAGCCAACCGACGCTAGTATCTAGGGGGGTTGTTTTCTCCCTCTCAGTTGGCCGCGATTCAGCGACCGGTCTATGCGTCCCGATCGCGACGGGTAGACGCGGAGCCGACGAGAGATAACTAACGCGTAAACTCTAAAGGGAAACTTTCTCTCTTCTTCTTTTTTCTTCCCTCGTTTCCCATTATTTACCTTTTTCTGACTCTGTTCTTAGGATTCCTTCTGTTTTTTTCTTTTTTTACGTTTGAGAAAGAGAGAGAGAGAGAGAAGTTTACTGTCATCGCACCGACATCAGGGATTTGTTTAGTGTCGAGGATGCTTTCGAAGGAGAAAATAGAAAAGTTTTGTCAAAGGAATAATACGTTCTTTACGACTATCTTCCTGTTATACAAAAGATAGAAGAAACATCATGTTTTTTCTTTCGTAGAACGTTTATGCTTTAACGGCGAAACCGGCAAAGCTATTTTAACGAGTATCCGATGTGAAAATGCTAATCTCGTTGCGCTTGAGAGGAAGAGAATCTTGAAAGGATGCATCGAAGACACATTATCGGCAGAATGTTCATGGGAGTTCAAGACTTACCAATTTGGTGACAAAATAGAATAAAGCGCGAGGTGTGTCTTTTTTCGAAAGATAAAAATTGGAAGGAATAATTATTAAAAAGTAATCGGCGACCCTTTTACGACTCTGTCGATTCAATAAGAATCAGTGAGATTTTGAAAGAAAATTGAAACTCACATGCGGGTTATGAACTTTATGGAAGGTCAAACTTCATGAATCTTACAGGAAGAATATTTGCATGAAAGATTCGATTTGTCGAAGTTGCGATACTCGATAGGTTCATCGGCTTTGAAGTTTCATCGAATTTGGCACGGTCTCTCGAATGCGTAAGAACGCGCATGGACGAAGGGAAACGAGTGGACAAGTTTTTAAAGCGAGGAAGAAGTAGAAGAAGGGGAAGGAGGAAGGTTAAGAGGAAAGTAAGCAGAGGAACGAAGGGAAAAGCGTCTTTTTACCGGACTCCTCTATCCCTATCGGTAGAGGACTGGAAAGGTGTTTTCGATTTCAACGGTCGTGTGCAAGAGGGAGGGCGTGTAAAAAAATAAGATGCTCGACGAAAGAAGATAAAACGAAAGTAAAACTAGGCGCGTGAATACGAGCGTCGATCGATCCGCTTCGGATGCCTTCCTTCGATGCTTGTTTACATTGAAAGCGCGCTTTTCTTGCCCCGAGGCCGTAGATATGTACCTATTTATGTACATACGCAGCGAGATTGCAATTAATGTCAGCAGAATTCTCGTCTCGTCGTCTTTATGCATTCCAGAAAGCTAGGCTATCTCTCTTTCCAACTAGAGAAGCCAATGCACGTCGCGATACGTATATTATTTGCGTGATATAATAAAAAAGAGAGAAAAAGACTTTGGATTTATATTTTGTTTTGTTTTCTTTTTTTCTTTTTTTCTGTTTTTTTCTTTTCTTTTTTTCCTTCGGTGACCATTTTACCGATTCAATTTCTACGATCGTTACGTACATATACATTTTTCGTACGTCGCAGTGCAAATATATAATCATCGATTGAATCTCTTAAGAATGATCGATGGAAATGGAGAATACGTTTAGCGTATTAAGATCGAGGATTACGTGGGACCATCATTTTTCCAATAGGACTCGTCGTGTTTGATTAGAATCTATGGGTTTCCTCGCTCGCGAAGGAAAAGGAAAAGAAAGAGGAAAATTCATTTAGCTAAAGTCACAACTTTTCAGATTTCAACGAGCGATCTTGTTGCTTCGCGAATGGAAAAACGAGCGATGTCTTCGATTCGAATACATTAAAGCATGATGGATTGAGGTACCGAGAAGATGATTACGGAATAAATCGAAGATTAAATAAAATGTAAGTAGAGCGAGAGCGAGAGCGAGAGCGAGAGCGAGAGAGAGAGAGAGAGAGAGAGAAAGAGAGAGAGAGGGATGTAATCAAGAAGAATCGTGATGTGGAACCGTGAATGTAACCGTGGACGTTATTATTATTTAATCGAGAGAATATCGGAAGCACAAACAAGATGATATTTATAAAAGGGAGGATACTTTTATCTCTCCGTTTGATATCCATTATCGATGAACGTCGCGCCTTGAGAGAACTTCTTTTTTCTTTTTTATACTCGTCAGTGTCAACGTCGTTTTGTAACTTGGAAGGAACTCGCCGATCGACAGAATTTATTTTGAGCGATTTAACGCTCTCTCGTAGGAAAGGTTATTAACCGAGATGGAAAAGTCAGGAGTATCAGGAAAAAGTGCGAAGAGTACGTCTGCGTCGCACAATCACCTTTTCCCGGCTCTACAACTCCCGGCACCTCCTCGTTTCACGTTCCACGGTCGATCGATAAATTTAATCTGCACTCGAGTAGACTATCCTCCCCCCCCCCCTCTCTCATTCTCTATTTGCATCACGCGCGTCCGCAAATCTTCGCTTCGCCATCCTTCGTTTTCATTCGAAGACAATTGCCACGATTAAAATGCTTCGATTCTTGGTACGGACGTTCGTCCAAACTGTCTAATGTTTTTAATATTCCCTATACAATTCGTTAATTTAATCGAAGGGATGATGCTAGAGAAAATTCGAGATCGTTCTGTACGATCAAAAGCGTTTTATCTAACTTGCTCCTATGCAAGAAAAAAAAACTGTAAAGAAGAGGTGCGAGATTTCATTCGAAAAATGGAAGCGTACGCGCTGACGTTCGTACGGAATATCGTGTCCCTTTAATGAGGTCACGTGTGAAAGCGTACAAATAGATGCAAGAGGAAGAACAATAATGCCTGGTAATTCTCACGTCGGAAAGGATGCGCGCGAGAGAGAGAGAGAGAGAGAGAGAGAGAGAGAGAAAGACAGAAGGAAAGGAAGGGGTTGCTAGCTTGCACGCAATATCAACATTGTTGAGATTCAGTGGACTCTACAGACTGAACGAATACGAGAATTTTACCTTATCCCTCTTTTCTTTTTTTTTTCCAAACAAATTCGCGAAACGTTCTATTTTTGTGTTCATCAAATTTGAGAGTAAGAGAGAGAGATAAAAAGAGATATCTTCCTCCTTTTTCTTCGTTTTCCCCGTAAGAAAGTGAGCGAGAGGCTTAAAGGCACACTCGTTCCCCACGAGGGAAGATCAAAACTTTTTACTCCGGCGACGTCTCATAATTTATTCTCGCGCGAACGACAGGGACACTTTGTAGAAGCTGCCACTGTACGTAAAAGCAAACCTTCGGTCGATCCTCTCTCTCTCTCTCTCTCTCTGTCTTTCATTTTCCCCTCTATTCTAGGCCATTACAAATCCCGCAAACAAGCCGAGACAAATTATCCTTCTCCCGAAACCCCTTTTCTTACGTTCTACTTTCTCTCGTTGATTACTTCTACGAGCTAATTTTTATTTCTACTTTTTCCCCCTTTCTCTCTCTCTCTCTCTCTCTCTCTCTTCCTTTTTCCGACACGGAAATGAAAAAACATTGAATCCGGTTGAACGATGGAGATTCGTCGCGGAGAGTAGACGTATTCTTTGATATTAATGGTCAGCTGCCCGTATACACACAGCTACTCGTACACAGTCGATGGTCTCGTGAAAAATGCGCGTGCCTCCTACGCGTTCTCGGTCTGTACTTCGTGTGATTTAATGACCGGCCGTCGACGTCGCAAAAGGGGGATTCGAGAGAAGTGCATTCGCAACGTCTCCTTTCGATACACCGACTTACCTATGTACATGCATACACACACATACATACATACATATATATATATGCATATATATCGCTTGCCCTTTATTTTTCTCGTTTTGAAACAATTCGAAAGACGAAACGTTAATTCGTCATGATAATTAGGAGAAATTCGATCGAATTAATGGCCGTGCAGCTGGCTCGCGCGTGAGTTATCACCGACTGCCAAGTATAGCGAGCTAGACTTCGTGACCCGATATCGGCAACCGGAACGGCTCCCGATATTGGCAGCACCTCGAATCTCCTCGAAACGAAGAACAATAGAAGCATACTCTCTCTCTCTCTCTCTCCCCTACTTTCAACGTT